CTCATATCAGAGTCGTTCTCCTCACAAAAGCACCACGGGGGTTTTGTTGTTTTTTCCTTCACAGATGCAGAAAGGGAACATCCCCAACCCCCTGCCCTAAACAGGAACTGGATCCCTGGTGATATCTTCCTGTCCTGGCCCTATTTATAGCAGCAAGGTCACCCAAATAAGAACAGAGGCAGCATCATATGATTTTTTTGGGGGTGGCTGAGTGAGTTGTGCACGGTGAGGATTCAGAGGAGCACAGCACATTTAGGAGGAACACCTCACTGTGGCCATTTCTGTCTGCAGAATAATTAAGAAATTCATGGCACCCAGGAATTTGGGAGGTTTTTTTCTATTTCACATAAACAAGTTATTAAATGCACAGAAATTTTCCTTGCAAAGCTGTTCCTCATTGTGCAGTTGTTTAGTGAAAGTCTAAAACAGACTCATTCCCCTTGTTGGACTGTTAATAAACAATTGATGAAAACTGCAAAAATTCAGGAATCTGTAAAGGTCACTCGATGGGCAATTTGGAAAAAAAACACACGAAAATTACTGGGCATTTTCCTGTTTGTGGAGAATTTTTGACAGCTTTACTGTGGGTTATAGAGCAGAGTTTGAATTCAGGACCTCCCACCCACGACTTTGACACATAAGGCAAGGAGAAATTTAAATATTTAAAATAAATTTAAATATTGGGCTCCTGACCTGCACCTGCACTGACAGATCTGCTCCAAACAGCAGCTGCAGCCAGAAAATTCCTATTTTTTCCCATTCCCAGAGCCAGCCAACATTTTGCTTTCTATTCTTTTACCAGAAACCAACAGAGATGCAAGAAGCCAAGCTTTAAATAGATACATAGAGCTAGCTGAATATATGTTTATATAAATATGTTTTATAGGCACAAACAAGCAAAAACCAAGGTGCTTATTTTGTATTCCTGAGGAAAAACGCTCTGTTTGACAGCATCCTTCTTTCAGACTCATTTGGCATAAATTATGGGCTGTAATTCCTATTTCACCCTCTCAGGCAGGCCTGTGAGTGGGACCTGATGAGGAAAGAGAAGTATTTCCATCGTATTATTTTAAAAATCTTTATTTACACAGCGAAATATTTGATGGGCCAAAGACTCAGTGATGAGTTCATCCCTCAGAGGGGTTTTGCTCAGGGGGAAGGAGTTTGTGGGGCTTGAGGGGTGGGAGGAAAGGGCAGAGTTTGTCATTTTCTCTCATTCCTCCATCCCTGCAGGGCTCAATCCCAAATCCCTCAGTGCCTGTGGAGCTGAGGCAGAGGCTGCTGCTGGTGTTTTCTGCAGCCTCTGAGAGCAGAAATTCCAAATAAAACCGGGTCCCTCTCGCAGACAGAGCTCTGCTGATGGCACAATTAGTGAAATCAAAGAAGAGCCAATGGAAATCCCTGCTGGGGCATCAAGCTCCTGAAGTTTGCACACTTTTTTAGTGATATATTTTTACCTGCATTATATTTTATCTCAGAATATTCCCCCCATGCCTTGCTCTTGCTGTTTGCAGTGGCTTCCCCACTGTCTGTTCACCCTCCTTTTTTAAGCTGGGCTTGGATAAATCCCAGCACTTTTTAAGCTGGACCAGAAGCAGAAGGCTGAGCTCTCAGCAGAGGGAGGATTTTTGTGTGGTTCTCGTTATGGTCAATGCCTCATTCCCCATTACAGTCATTTCCTCTGAAGCAAATGGGATTTGGCCATTATATTTTATGTTTATTGATATATTTTCCTGAGCTCCATTGACATTCCCCTTTTTTGTTGTTTTTTTCCCAGCCAGAAGTGACAGGAAGCCAAGAATCCCCCAGCAGTAAGGAGAGAAGTGCTCAGAGCTCTGTGCCCTGCCTCAAAGTGGGGTTAAAATGGGCACCATTTCCACATCAGTGTGGGGCCAGGGCAGCAGCACCAATTCTGCTGCAATGTTTTGGGGCCAGCTGTTTAGCTGGGATGCTTCCTGGCAATATTTCACCCTGTTTAACCAGGGGTTGAGTGGGGAAAGGTTTTCCTTGGGCCTTGACATTGAGGAGTGTCATGGGCAGGGCTTTGAGGTGGAAGAATCAAACCCAATTAATTCTTCCTGGTGAATAAAATACCTGCTGTGCATTTGGAAGTCGTTGCTGTTAGGATTTTCTTTCCCCTTCCCCAGACTCTCCAGAGCTGCAGTTGCACAGAACCTGTGCCTTGCTGTCTGTTCAAAATGATTATTCCATGTTGCTGGGTGCTTTTAAATGATTTCCCTGCACTTCATCTCAGAAGGCAAGAGATGGAGGAGCTGGGTGCCCCAGGGGACCAGCAGTGCTGCACAAAGCTTCTCAACCCATTTTGCATCACCAGAAACGGTTACTCAGTGATACCATCCAGTAAATTCTGAAAAATAAGTAATTTTCTTCCTTTTTCCTCTTTTCTGGTTCATCTGAGTCACTGTTGTTTTTTTCTGCAACGCTCCAGCCAACACTTGCTACCCAGCGTGAGGAAATGTGAGCACCTAAGCCATAATTTGTCACCTAATTAAGTGACCTGATTTTCTCAGGAGCAGGATGTGTTTTCCAGCTCCCACTGCACTCAGCAATTGTGAAAATCAGGCCACTTTTGCATGGTTGGGACCAGTTTTGAGTACTCAACTTCTAAAAAGCTGATTTTGGCCTGGGAGCTGGAGGATGGGTCCTCTCCAGGTTTTGACCAGGGTGGGATTTTGGGAGGGAAGCAGAGACTTATCAGTCATCAGCACCATTCCTTTCACTAAAATAAAAAAAAAAGAAGAATAAATCTCTCATTTGCAGGTCCTGGGATAAAAATATCCTCCGGCTTTGTTTGCTTTATGCAGCATTTCCTCCTCACACTGAAAATTAAATTGACAGGGGGGTTGGTTGTCCCTGTGGATGATGGAGGCAGCTCTGAAATCCCAGGTGAACAAAGGTGTGGCTCCAGCCTCGTGTTCTCTGCCTCCCTTCGGGGTCCCCAGCTCTGCAGGAGCTGCAGTTAATTCCAGCAGAGCTCCTCTGTGGGGTTTGTTCCAAGGAATCATCAGGTCATGAAGGAAAAGAGTCCCTGAGGTGGAGTGGGAGAACCTGGACTGTGCACAGCTCCTCCAGAGCTCTGGGCAGAGGAAATCCTGGAGAAACTGCTCATTCCAGAGGCAGAGCTGCCAGACTTCACTGCCAGACTTCAGGGGACAGTTCTGCAGAGTCACATCTCTCTCGTCAAGAGCAGAAACAACCCCGGCTGGAGGGGAGCGGAGCAAGGGCAGCACAACAAATGATGGAAGCAGGGCAGGAAGAATCCCCAGGCACTGCTCCCAGAGAGCTGCCCCTCATCCTTTAGAGGGGTGCCCTTTATCCTTTACAGAGATCCTCCTTGTCTTTTAGAGAGATCCCCCCTGTCCTTTAGAGAGGTTCCCTTTGTCTTTTAGAGAGGTGCCCCTTATCTTTTAGAGAGATCCCCTTATAATTTAGAGATGTGTCCCCTGTCTTTTAGAGAAGTGCCCCTTATCTATTAGAGAGGTCCCCCCTATCTTTTAGAGAGATCCCCCCTGTTTTTTTGAGAGGTACCCCTCTCTTTTAGAGAGGTCCCCCCTATATTTTAGAGTTCCCCCTTATCTTTTAGAGAGCCCCCCCATCTTTTAGAGAAGTGCCCCCTTATCTTTTAGAGAGGTTCCCCCTTATTTTTTAGAGAAGTGCCCCTTATCTTTTAGAGATCCCTCTTATCTTTTAGAGAGGTTCCCCCCTGTTTTTCGGCTCCTTTGCCTGAGCTGCTTTCCAAAGCAAAGCACTTTCTGCTTTGCACAGAACACTTTCCAGAGCAGAGCAAGGTCAGCAGGGCAGGAACCCCAACCCACAGCGTTCACCACCCCAAATCCACCAAATCCATCCCCCCAGAGGGCAGCACTGCTGATCTCCAGGGAATGCTGGCAGATGAGGACAGCAAAACAGCTTGGGGAGGAAGTATGTTCATCACCACGCATTTGCAACACAGCTCTTTAGTTTTTTTCTTTTTTGTTTTTTATCATTATCAGCATTATCTTTCTGCCTTCCTCTTACCCTCCAAACGAACCAAAATGTGTGTGTTCAAGGGGTGGGGAGGCTGAAGCACAGCTGAGTCAACAGCACATGGCTGGGGCTGGGGGTGACGTGCAGGATGTCCTCTGGGGGTGTCAGAGCATTTGGACATGCAGGCAGAAGGGTGACACAAACATGCTCACAAGTCCTGGAGGGTCCCTGACCCCAGACCCACGGGCTGGAGCCTGGATCTGCCCCCTTTCCCTTTAGGAAATCACCTATTCACGTGGAATTCTGCACCCTCCCCAGCTGAGCGCCTGTCTCTGCCTCATGACCCTAAAATTTCTGTCATTTTCTGCATTCTTCACTCATAATTCTTGCTCCATCTGGGTTCTGGGTGAATCCTTCCCTTTGGCTGTCCCTGGTGCCACGGGGCTGAGCTGATCCACAGCTGCTTTCCTGTGCTGGTGTCGAGCACTTGGAAAACACAATTCCACATTTAAATCTGTTACTTCTGCTCAGAAAACTTGCTGAACAGCAGAGCTGGGTGTTCCCAGCTGGAGGGAAAAGGGATTCGGAGATATCCTGAGGGGAAAGAAGCAGAAGAGCTCTTTGAGTACAGCAAGGACTAAAGGGAGGATTTTCTAAGCAGGAAAATCTCTGTTTGTGCCCTCTCGTGGCTGTTGAATTTTTCTCCTCGTCATTGCAACTCCTGCTCTCTCAGACCCAAATCTTTGGGGTTTCATGCTGAAATTGCCAGCAAAGAGACCATTAAATGCTGGTGTTTCTCTGTCCAGAAAAAGTGGGAAAACCCAGAGCTCCATAATTCATGTTTTGTGCTGGCTGCATGACTTTGCCCTTCAAACAGTTTATGAGGATTTGACAGGTGGCACATCCAAACAAAAAGCATTGGAGAATTGGAAAGGGCATCCCATGAGGGCCCAAACACACAGCAATAGACCCAGCAGCACTGAAATTCTCTTTTTCTTTTGCTCTCTCTGCAGACAAAAAGCGCTGGCATCGACAGGTGGAAGGAGTGTTCAAGCAGCATGCGACTGGTTGGTATGAAGTAATAAATGTTAAAAAGTAGCAGAAAGGGTGGATTTAGGGTTTCAGCCATTAGAATGTGGCAGGTTTAAACAGGGCTGTTGTCTGAACAGCACCTGCAGAGTTAGTGAGGTGCTGTTTAAGTGCTGGAAATGAGCCTGGTCTGAGAGGGTTTGTGATCTGTGTTATAATAATGTTCTTTTTTTTTAATGACTAAGCAGAGGTAACTGAGTCAGCAGAGGGTCGAGGCAGCTTCTGTAATTGCCTGTCACATTTGAGTCCCCAGGGTTTTGGCCAAAGTCCTTGAGTATCTGGGAATAAGAGCTTTATTCAGTGACCACCATCATTAGGCAGGGCCCTGCAGGGAGAGTGGGGTCTGTTAAACCCCTTTGGCTGCCCTGAACTGGAAGCACTGGGGGGAATAAATTCCCAAGCAGGTGGGAGGGGGAACAGGTGAGAGAAGGAACCCCCCTCACTCTGCAGCTGGGAGCTGCCTGCTGAGACATGGAGCGATTCCTGGTGCTCTCCTCCCTGTGTTCTGCACTCTGAGAGGCAGAAAAGGCAGAAGCAGTGACCTGGCTTAGATCTCCAGAGCACCAGCCTGAAAGTAAACCCCAATTTTCTGTGTTACTGAGCAGTGCAAATGGGCTGCAAGTGAGGCAGAGCAGCTCTGCCTGCCCCGCCAGAGCTGCATTTCCCCATGCAGGGACAACGAGCGGCAGCACAGGGGGAGCTGGTTTAGCTGGGGGAAGAAAATCCGCGACTCTGTCTCGATTTAAGAGCTGTTTGTGCCCGCCAGGCTCTTCTCCCACGTGGGTGACCCGTTCCTGGATGACACCCTGCCCCGGGAGTACGTGCTGTACCTGCGGCCCACCGGGCCCCTGGCGCAGAAGCTCTCCGAGTTCTGGCAGCAGTCGAAGCAGATCTGTGGCAAGAACAAAGCCCACAACATCTTCCCCCACATCACCCTCTGCCAGTTCTTCATGGTAAAGCACAGCTCCTCTCCCCTCTCTGCTGTAGCCATTCCTTGCCAGGCTCGGCCTGGAGACTTCATCCTGGCTTAGGGAGGAGCTGGGGGGATTTTGTCAGTGCCTGGGCTGCTGGAGGAGGTAATTGTTTTTTTTAAGCTGTTGTTTTCAGGGAAGAGCAGCAGCAGAAGACTGAATTCTCATCCTCTCCAGTGATCCTCAGCGTGAGAATGGGTGGGGGGAGCTTGGGGAGGTTACTTGGGGATAGCTGATCCTGCTTTGAGGACAAGGGAGGGGCCGAGGATTTCTAAACATAGATTTATTTTTTTTTCCATGCCCCTGTGCTTTTTCTCACTGCATGAGGGGAAAGGTAGGCCACTGACACCCACCCACACCCTCTGCTTTGCTGAGCCATGCCTGTCCTGCTTCCTTGGCAGTGTGAGGACAGCAAGGTGGACGCTCTCACGGAAGCCCTGCAGGCCACGGTGATGCGCTGGAAATGCAAATTCCCTGCCCCGCTGCCCCTGGAGCTCTACACCTCCTCCAACTTCATCGGGCTCTTCGTCAAGGAGGAAAGTGCTGAGGTGCTCAAGAAGTTTGCTGCAGACTTCGCTGCAGAGGCGGCTTCCAAAGCAGGTGAGTGACTGCTTGGGCGTTGTCAGAAAAACAAAGCTTGGATGGCATGAGATCCCAGCCTGGAGAGTCAGAAAACCAAAACTTTGAAGTCATGAAGGAGCCCAGCATGGGCATTGTCAGAAAAACCAAAACTTTGAAGACATGAAGGGCATTGATAGAAAACCAAAACTTTGGTGTCATGAAGGAGCTCAGCCTGGGCATTGTCAGAAAAACCAAAACTTTGATGCCATGAGAGCCAGGTTTGGACATTGTCAGAATTACCAAAACTTTGGTCATTAAGGAGCTCAGCCTGGGCATTGTCAGAAAACAAAAATTTGGATTTTAAGAGAGCTCAGTCTGGGCACTGATAGAAAACCAAAGCTTGGATGTCATGAGAGCCCAGTTTGGGCATTGTCAGAAGAACCAAAACTTTGAAAACGTGAAGGGCATTGATAGAAAACCAAAACTTTGAAGTCATGAAGGAGCTCAGCCTGGGCATTGTCAGAAGAACAAAACTGATGCCATGAGAACCAGGTTTGGGCATTGTCAGAAAAACAAAACATTGATGCCACGAGAACCAGGTTTGGGCATTGTCAGAATTACCAAAGCTTGGATGCCATAAGAGCCCAGTTTGGACATTGTCGGAAAAACCAAAACTTTGAAGCCATGAAGAGCATTGATAGAAAACCAAAACTTTGGTGTCATGAAGGAGCTCAGTCTGGGCATTGTCATTAAAACAAAGTTTGGGTGCCATGAGAGCCCAGCCTGGGCAGTGTCAGAAAAACCAAAACTTTGAAGCCATGAAGGGCATTAGAAAACCAAAACTTTGGTGTCATGAAGCAGCTCAGCCTGGGCGTTGTCAGAAAAACCAAAACTTTGATGCCATGCAGGAGCAAAGCAGCTGCTAAACCTCACAGTTTGGGCCTTTTCAGAGACCCAGAGCTCTGATGCCACCAAGAAGCAAAGCTCAAAAGCAAATCCCTGATTTTTAAGTGAAAACTCAAACACCCCAGCGGGTGCTTTGGCTTTTCAGCTGGGAGATGTCTCACCCTGAGTTTTGAGCGCTGTTTCTGGAAGGGAAGCTGACATTTGGTGGTTCTTTACCCTTTCACAGAGCTGCTCTGAGCTGTTTCCTGCCCGCTCGCCGCCTCCAGCCACCACCACAGAACTTTCCCCGGCCATTTCAAGGCCGTGGCTGTTTTTTCACTGTGTTTCTGAGGTGTGAAGAGGGCTCTGGGAGAAGACCCCAAGTGTTCTTTCCAACCTCAGAGCTCACAGGTGCTCCATGATCCAGAACCTCTGGAATGTGTTGCTTTCACCCAACCTAGAACTTCCCTTCCCTTTAGAAGAGGGAGGGAATTTTATCTTTAAAAAGAAGGTTTTGGAAGGCAGATATTGGGTGGGTCCAAGGACAGTGCAGCCAGTGAGAGTGGGATCTATGTTTCCCTCCAGCACAGCCAAAAATGTGATTTTTATCCAAAAAAACCCCACTGACCCAGAATAAAGAAGCAGTTGTGGCTTCCAACAATCTTCTGCCCCAAGACTGCTCCAATTCAGGCCAAATTGGGGTTTTTTAAGGGAAGGCAGTTGCTGCATTGCAGCCACAGCTTGGTCAGGTTAGCACATTAAAGTCTCTGGGTTTTTTTTCAAAGATCTTGAGCATATTTTTATTGCTGATGAAAAACAACAACAGAAAAAAGATGGATGAGCTTGCAGAGCTACCCCTGGCTGGCACTTGGAGCCAAGTCTCTGAATAGCTGCAATTGTGACTGAATAATCAGTCAAATCTAATTGCAATTTTTGGTTGAATAAGCATGAATAAATTACGTGCAAACAATGTGTCCTGTGATTTCCACATCTACTGGAAGAGCCCAAATATTTCACATATTTTCACCTGGAATCATCTCCTGATGCAGATTCTTTTTTTCTGCAGGATCATTTTGAATCATTATTATGTTTCCACAATTTGGGAATACCTCACCCTCAGTGACTAAACTGATAATCCAGCTAATGTCCAGGGAAAAGATTTAATCAGCTTGCACAAACCTGCAAATTCCATGGATTTGTCATTTAGTGCAGCAGAGAGAATGATAGAGGGAGAGTAAAAATCATGCTTTTAACCTGCTTATTTTGGAAAGATCCTCAGCTGCTCATAAAGGCCTCCTGGATTTTCCTACCTGGAAAAATGTCTTTTTTCTTTTGGCAGGAGATCCTGCATGTCCAGAGCTGCAGTAAGGATTGTCACACCCCCTGCTGTTTGGCAGTTTGCAGGGATGCCTTGTCTGGCACCCTGGCTGAATCAGACCCCAAATCTCTGATATTTTCAATATTAGAAACCTCCTGTGGATGCTGGCAGTCTGGTCAGAGAGGAAGTCAGATAAACTTTCCCAGGCATTGCTCTGGGGGAGCTTTGAGAAAGCTCAGAGAAAGAATTAAAATAATCTTTAACCTTTGCAGCTGATGTTTTGTACTTGTTTACTTGCAAGATGTTTACAACAAGGGTGTTGTTCCTAATTAGCAATGAGGTGAGGGGTATTGATTGAGAACCCACCAGATCCAGCTTTCTCAGAACAATCTATAAAAAAATGTGATGTCAATTTACTTTGCTGTTGCCTTCTGAGAAGACTTTGGAGTCTGTCTTGCTTTATTCAGCTGTCCCTAATGCAGCAGCAACAACCTCACACTCCCAGACTGATTCCAGGTGAACTCCAGCTTGTCTCTTGAGCTACTTGAGCTTTGCAAGTGCAGCTCTGTTGGAGGCCACGGTCACCAACCTGGCACGAAGGGGTTTTCAACCCTCCTCTCCCCATTGCAGATGTCCACGTGGAGCCCCACAAGAAGCAGCTCCACGTGACCCTGGCCTATCACTTCCAGAGCAGCCACCTGCCCACGCTGGAGAAGCTGGCGCAGAGCATCGACGTCAAGCTGGGCTGTGACTGGGTGGCCGCCATCTTCTCCCGCGACATTCGCTTCGTCAACCACGAGGTAAACTCCTGGAGCTCCCCTCACCCCAACAAATCACCCCTCTGCTGAAGGCCCCCTTCCATTTCACAGAATCACAGAATAATGAGGTTGGAAGGGAGCTCTAAGATCATCGAGTGCAACCTCACACCTCAACCAGACCCTAGCACCAAGTGCCGTGTCCAGCCTTTTTTTAAACACATCCAGAGGTGCTGATTCCACCACCTCCCTGGGAAGATCATTCCAGTGCTTTATTATTCTTTCAGTTAATTTTTTTTTTCCTAATATCCAACCTATCCCTTCCCTGACGTAGCTGAGACCATGTCCTCTGGTTCTGTCAGTGCTGCCTGGTGGAAGAGACCAACCCCACCTGTCCAGAACCTCCCTTCAGGAATTGTAGAGAGCAATGGGGTCCCCTCTGAGCCTCCCCTTCCCCAGGCTAAACAGCCCCAGCTCCTTCAAACGTTCTTCACAGGGCTTGTGTTCCAAGCCCCTCACCAGCCTTGCTGCCTTGTGGCAGCAGCTCTGTGGCCACAGAGAGGAATACAACTTTCCCAGGAATCATTCTGGGAAAGGCTGTGAGAACACCAGAGGAAAGAATGAGAAACAATTCTTATCTTCACTTGCTGATTATTGTTGGTGTTGTGCACATGTGGAATGTGTTATGGAGATTTGTTTACCAAAGGGTGGTTTCTTAATTAGCCAGTGGTAATGGTGTTTTAACTAAAAACACCAATCAATTCCACCTGTAGAGAACTAGAATATAAAAAAGAACAATGGGTTTCATAAAAAAGATTATTATTCAGCCTTCTGTAATACTTGGAGTCTATGCTAATTATTACCCTGCTGGGGGTCCATTTGATGTGACACTCATTAATATTTTGTGCTTTTCTCCCCCAGACTCTGCAAGTGATCTACCCCTACACCCCCCAGAACGACGACGAGCTGGAGCTGGTCCCCGGGGATTTCATTTTCATGTCCCCAGTGGAGCAAACCAGCACGAGTGAGGGCTGGATTTATGGCATTTCCCTGGCCACTGGCTGCTCGGGGCTGCTGCCTGAGAACTACATCACCAAGGCGGATGAATGTGGCACCTGGGTGTTCCATGGGTAGGTGAAGCTGCTCCTCCCCTTCCCACATCTGCAGAAAGGGGCTCAGGGATGCCTGGAGAGGCTCCTTGGAGCAGAGGCTGGGCAGAGTTAAAGGAATAAAGCAGGGATTTATTTAAAGGGTTTCAAAGGATACAGCTTGGGCTCTACAGGAACCTGCTCAAGGCTACACCAAAGATGGATCCCGAGTCATGAGTTTTCACATTTTACAAGTTTTGGTCCATTTCCATATTGGGTTCATTGTCCAATTCCAGCTCCAGCTGATGCAGTCCCATCCTCCCAGGCTGCTCTCCTCCATTCCCTGTTGTTTGCACTTTTTGGGCTGAAGCTGCAGCAGTTCTGGGGCTGGAAAAGGATTGTTCTGTGTGCCTGAGCTGTGAGGAGAACTGCTGACACTTGATGTGAAGCTCAGAGTCACACACTAAGGCAGAATCCAGAAAATATGTGGGTTTTATATTTTCCAGAATCTATAAAATATAAAAGCTCAAACTCAAGGCAGCAGCAGCAGCAGCTGGGATTTCACCTAGGGCAGCGAGGAGGGATGCTGAGAAGGGCACTGAGGGGAAGGAGCTGGCACAAGAGCCTCATCCCATCAGCCAAGGAGCAGCAGATGCTCTCCCTTAGCGTGGGGTGAGAGGACAAGGTGATTTTGCAGCTGAGATGTTGCAGCAGCTCTTTGTGACTCGCAGGCTGATGGAGCTGCAGCAGATGGCTGCTGGAGCCACTGCTGTGCAGGCACCTCTGGGCTGGGCCTGCCATCAGCAAGGTGTAAATATGAGAGTTAATTTGGGAAGAGACATCTTCCCTGCGTAATTCCCTGCTGGGAAAGACTTTGGATCAGGAATATTCCTTAGTTTATTTAGCGAGAATTTTAGGAGCTTGTTTTTGGCTTCAGTGAGAATGCAGCCCTTGTCTTTTAAATAAGGTTATGCCTCTTGATTTTGGTGGGAATTCAATTCAAAATTCAATTCAAAAACAGAATTCTGGTCCTGAAATCACTCATTCCCCCGTCATTTACCCCTGCCAGAGCAGGGGAGACAAGGCACCATCCAGAGGACAGGAGATGGAGTCAGGGTTTTTGGGGAAAAGCCTCCAAACAATGGCCTGTCCTTAGGAGATGAGTAAGCTGGAGCAGCCTCAGCAGTTTGTGTTTTCCAGCAGCTCTGGAGACAGGCTGGTGGCTCTTCTCCAGGCACACTGAGAGTTTGCCTCTCCTCATCACCATTCCCAGCAAATCCTGCCATCTATAAATAGATGCTGAAGCGTTTGTGGCCTTTATTAAAAGGCTCAGAGAGAAAGAAAGGCTCAGAAATTGTGTGGCAGCTCCTGGGGGCAAAGGGAAGTGGGGTAACCAAAAAATCCTTGGTATTCTCCAGACCAGTGTCCTTAAAAAATGTCATATGGGCAAGGCAGGAAAGGGATTAAATTAAAGGGAGGAAGGGCTGACAGCTGGGAGAAATTCACTTTGTGCAGAAATAGAGATGGGTCCTAAGTGAGAACTGAGATTCTGTTCACATTGGGAGTCTGTTCACAGTGAGATATTCACGTTCTGGGGTCACTGAGGATGGATCAGTGCTGACTCCAACGCTCCACCAGCATTTGGACAATGTGGGGAACAATTCCTCAGGGCAGGGCCAGCCCCTGTTGGGAGCTCAGGAATAATCCAGTAGCTCAGTGTCATCCTTGCACCCTAATTCCAGCAGGTCATAGATCAGGACCAACATCATAGTGGGTTTTTCCTCCTGTAAATCATATAACTCACGCAGGTGACCTATTTTTGTCCCACTGGCAGAGTCACTCGGGGCTATTTCACCAGCTGTGAAACCCCTGTGAGATTTTATCCTAACTGCTGCTATCAGGGAGCAGCTCCTGCTGTATTTAAGGCACTGAAAAGTGCCAGCTCTGGCAGCTCTTCCTGTCAAAGTAAATGACCACATCCATTACCTGATAATGTTCTTTTTTTTTTTTTAATGACTAAGCAGAGGTAACTGAGTCAGCAGAGGGTCGAGGCAGCTTCTGTAATTGCCTGTCACATTTGAGTCCCCAGGGTTTTGGCCAAAGTCCTTGAGTATCTGGGAATAAGAGCTTTATTCAGTGACCACCATCATTAGGCAGGGCCCTGCAGGGAGAGTGGGGTCTGTTAAACCCCTTTGGCTGCCCTGAACTGGAAGCACTGGGGGGAATAAATTCCCAAGCAGGTGGGAGGGGGAATAGGCAGCACTGAAAACTGCAGGAGCAACAGGGCTGAGTCCCTGCCAGGGGGAGAAGCTGTTTTGGGCACAAGAACCCTGAAAACTGCCCAGGGAGAGGCCCCAGGTTTCTGCTGAAGCCACAGCTTGTGCTAGAAAGGTGAGAGCAATCTCCCTGCAGCCATTAATTCCCAAACTTGGGAGCACAAATCCACAGCCAGTGACATGGACAGGTCCCCAGGTGATGTTAGTGAGCATCCTGTGGTCATCAGGAGGGTCCTGCACTGTCCGTGAGAATATTCCAGGGTTGGGAGGGCCTCCCAGGCCAAAGTTTGGGAATTGTTCTGTGAATTGTTTCTAAGGAAACAGCCCATGGAGGTGGAATTGGTCTCCTCACGTGTGTGCATCACCTGGCAAGGTGCTCTCAGGGCAGCACTGAAACCCCAATAATAATGAAATAACATCACAACAGTAATTACCACCGGCTCCTGCAGGCTACAGAAACATCCTGAGAGCAGCCTGGGCACAAGGAGCATTCCCAAACACAGTGTTCTTCTATTTTTGGCAGGTCCTACTCCATTCTGAACACCACGTCTTGCCCATCCCTGCAAGCCTTTGCTGATGGAGCTCTGGAGAGAAGGCAGCAGGAGGACCAAGGGCCAGGGGACCCTGGGCCACTCACCATCATCTGCCAGAACGTGCAGGTGGGGACCCCACAGCCAGAAATCGTTAGGGACAAGCTTCCAGTGAAAGGATTTTCCCCAAATATTTCTCTTTTCACTCCCTGCAGCACAAGTTACAGAGTTTTTAATGACACAACCCCATCCCCAAACTGCCTCTTCAGCTGGGGTGGCAGGACCCCATCCTGTGCCCCCCTCAGCAGCTTTACAGCACCTACAATAAATGTGAATGTACCAGGATTACATGTATAGATAAATGTACAGGATTATGAATTCCCAAAGAGCCCCACAAACCCATAAAACAATAAATCCTGCAGCCTTCCCTGGGATGTCTGCACAAGGGCAAAGCAGGAGGAGCCTGCTGCTGGCTCCTGTGGCTTGCTCAGGTGCCTCTCCTCTCTGCTGAAGGTCAAACCTGCTGTCACTGTGATGCCTGGAGCAGAGGCTGGGCAGAGTTAAAGGAATAAAGCAGGGATTTATTAAAAGGATTTCAAAGGGCACACCTTGGGCTGTACAAGAGCCTGGCCAAGGCTACACCAAAGATGGCCCTGAAATAAAAGTTTTCACACTTTTATAAGTTTTGGTCCATTTCCATACTGGGTTCATTGTCCAGTTCAAGCTCCAGCTGATGCAGTCCCCCCCTCCCAGGTTGTTCTCCTCCATTCCCTGTTTGTCTTTTTTGGGGCTGAAGCTGCAGCGGTTCTGGGGCTGGAAAAGGATTGTTCTGTGTGCCTGAGCTGTGAGGAGAACTGCTGACACTTGATACGAAGCTCAGAGTTATGTACAGAGTCTGGCAAATATAAAAGCTCCATCTGAAGGCATCCATTCCCTTGCAGCCCCTGAGGATCAGCAGCCAGCCGGGCCCTCAGAAGCGCTGCCTGTTCGTCTGCAGGCACGGCGAGAGGATGGATGTGGTTTTTGGGAAGTACTGGCTGTCCCAGTGCTTCGATGCCAAAGGTGAGCCCGGGGTGTTGCACACAGGTAAAACCTTACAGAAGAAAGGCCTTATAATGTCGTAGTTGAGATGGTCACAACACAAAGCAACACTCCATTTTCAGAAGGTTTCAAATCTGGTTTTATTTCAGCATGGATGCTTTTTATACAATCTTACAAAACTCTTCAGTTTACTCATTGGTCAGGAAAGGTAAACAAAGTCCTCATTGGAACAGGCAGTTGCAGGTTTCTCTTATTTATCCTTCTTTCTTTCTTGGTTTCTATGTCAAGGGCCTTGATATGAAATTCTTTCAGGGGTAAAAGTGGATCCTCTTATCAAACTCCTCTCTGGCTCACAGAAGTCACTGTAAAACCTCTTCCACATTATAAAATGAGGCCTTGCTATTTCAGCTGAATTTACAGGTAGCCTTTGAAGTTCCCATGGAAAAGAACCATGAGAATGGGTTTACATAACAATCTGTTCTTGTCAAAAGGCAGCTTGAATGTGTGAAAACAAAGAAATCCAAAAAGAAAAAATGTAAACACCTGTGTAAAGAGAGAGTCTTAGCACGTACACACCTTCTAAACAATTAATTGAGTGGCAAGAAAGAATTAATTCTAATAATTCAGTTAGTTTTATTCTAACCAATTAGAATAAAACACAATAACTTGGAAATTGGATAAAAAATAGGCTGTAACGTTACAGTGGAGCCTTTGCTGCTGGAACTTTGAAGTGTTCTGCCCATTGTTATTCACTTTTATTGTTATATGGGGGTATCCCAGGATTTCATGGAAGAAGAAGTGGCCACTGCCTGGTGGAAGCTGTGGGTTTTAACACAAAATGATGATTTTTGTGCAGCCTGCAGCAGCAAGTCATCCAGAGAGGAAATACTCCATTTGGCAATATTTGGGAAAATACTGCAGGAGTGATTGCACTCTGCAGTTACATCACCAAGGAGAAAATGCAGTCATGATGATGGTAGTCAGTGTTCAATGAAAACATTTGCTGCCATCAGAGAAAAATTTTGCACTGCTGGCTCTTGTGAAATGGAGCCATTGACTTGTTAAATGAAAATAACACTGCTCAGAGTGGTTTTTGGGGCATAAATTGCTGTTTTCAACCCAGTATTATGCTCGAGTTTCATACCAGTGAACAAATTATAACTTCAGGCTCTGTTGGCTTAGAGCTGATCAGAAATCTGTCCTAAAAGTCTTTCCTGTATTCAAAACCACCAACACCTTTAGTGAAAGGATAATTTCACAACTCCCTTCATTCTAAACTATGACTGAAGAGCTCTGATGTTCTCTCCTCCTGTAAAAGTGGAATGTTTGTTGTGGGATAGAAATGACATTCCCTTGGCGAAATCAGTCCTAAAAAATAAAAATAAAAAAAATTAGAACCTTAGCAACATTCTGTGCTGATTTTGAGCTGGTGAGAGGTATTTAATTTAATTTTTGTGAGATTCCTGATGGATTTACAAGGGAAAAAAAAAAACTGTTCACAAGCCAGGCTTAGGCAGGACCTGCACACCACAGCCGAGGTGGGGGGAGAGGGGAAAATCAGGTGTGATGTTCCTGCCTCTGCCTGGGGAAATAATTTCAGCTTGGCACCTCTCCCTGCAGGCAGGTACATGCGCAGTAACCTGAATATGCCTCACAACTTACCTCAGAGGAGTGGTGGTTTCAGGGATTATGAAAAAGATGCTCCCATCACCGTGCTGGGCTGCACGCAGGCCAGGCTCGTGGGTAAGTGCTGCTCAGCAGGCAAAGCCTGCAGCTGAAGGAGGGGGGATCTGGGGGGGATTTGGGAAGGAATTGTTCCTATGAGTGTGGCACAGGTTGTGCATCCATGGAAGTGTCCAAGGCCAGGCTGGACAGCGTTTGGAGCAAGCTGGGGTTGTGGAAAATGTTCCTGCCCAGGGGATTTTTGGGTTTTTTTTCCATCCCAAATAATTCCATGGGTTTGGAGCAACCTGGAGTTGTGGAAGGTGTCCCTGTCCAGGGGTTTTTTGGTTTTTTTACATCCCCCATGATCCCATGGGTTTGGAGCCACCTGGTTTAGTGGAAGATGTCCCTGCCCAGGGAGGTTTTGATTTTTCTAACCCAAATGATTCCATGGGTTTGGAGCAACCTGGGGTTGTGGAAGGTGTCCCTGTCCAGGGTTTTTTTGGGGGTTTTTTTTCCATCCCAAATGATTCCATGGGTTTGGGGCAACCTGGAGTTGTGGAAGGTGTCCCTGTCCAGGGTTTTTTTGGTTTTTTTTCCATCCCAAATGATTCCATGGGTTTGGAGCAACCTGGTTTAGTGGAAGATGTCCCTGCCCAGGGAGGTTTTGATTTTTCTAACCCGAATAATTCCATGGTTCCATGAAGATCTTGCCCAGGAAGGTTCATTCTCTCCCTCCCACTTCCCCCCATTATCTTCCCCTGCTATCAGAGAAAAGAAATGTGCAAGGCAGAAAAAAATGGATTGATTGGATGCCCTGAGCTAAGGGGATTTAAATCTTTCAAGGAGCTTTGCCAAGTCCCTTCACCTTCCCCAGCAATTTCCCTCTTCCAAAGGAAACCTCATTCCTTCAGCTGCTGAGGAGAAGGCAAAGCAGAGATGTAGGACTGGGGGAGATCAGAGCCATCAAAGGATGGTGCCTTGGGAAGATTTTGTTATTATCCACGTTGTGGAGCAGTGCAGCAGTGTGGCTGTCACCTCCTGCAAAATCTGCTTTTTTCACCCAGTTTGCCACACCCGTATCCTTTTATCAGTCTGCCTGGCTTTATATTGTCACAAATCATTTCCAGTGTTCTCCCATCCTCACCCCTGCCTCCTGAGCCTGCTGGTTTGTGCACAGACAGAAAATCCTTTGCCAGGAGCACATCTTGAGAGCTGTGATGAGGGAGCCCAGCCCCTCAGACACGAGCTCTGAGCATCTCCAACTCAGATCCTTCCGAGCACTCCTTGCTGGTCACATCCAAAGTGGGGCAGCTAAAATTATCTTGCCTTTTTGAACACAGATAAATCAGAGTGCAGCAGCAGGAGGATGCTCAGGCTCCACATGGCAGCGGGGTTTGCAGTCTGCACAGGACAGAAGGGACCCTGGGAGTGTCACAGCACACTTTGCTGGTGCCATTTGGGGGACAGGGACACACTGAGGGTGGCATTAAGAGCTCCAAGGACACTTCACTGTGGCATTCAGAGGATTAAAGGGACACAGTTTGCTGGTGGCATTAAAGAGGTCCAAGGACACACTTTGTGTGGCATTAAAGAGGTTTGAGGACACACTTCAGTGGTGGCATTAAAAAGGTCCAAGGACACATTTTGTGTGGCATTAAAGGGGTCCAAGGACACATTTTGTGTGGCATTAAAAGGGTTTGAGGGCACACTTTATGTGGCATTAAAAGGTTCCAAGGACACATTTTCCTGGTGGCATTTGGAGGATCTTAGGATACACTGTGCTGGTGGCATAAGCGGGTCCAAGGACACACTTTGTGTGGCATTAAAAGGGTTTGAGGACACACCTCATGTGGCATTAAAGGAGTCCAAGGACACACTTTGTGTGGCATTAAAAGGGTCTGAGGACACACTTTGTGGCATTAAAGGGGTCTGAGGACACACCTCGTGTGGCATTAAAGGAGTCCAAGGACACACTTTATATGCCATTAAAAGGTTCCAAGGACACACTTATGTGTGGCATTAAAAGGGTCTGAGGACACACCTTGTGTGGCATTAAAGGGGTCCAAGGACACATTTTATGTGCCATTAAAAGGTTCCAAGGACACACCTTGTGTGGCATTAAAGGGGTCCAAGGACACGTTTTGCTGGTGGCACTGAGGGGGTCTGGGGACACACTTTGCCATGGCATTCAAGGCTCCAGGGACACGGCTGCAGCTGTGGTGGCACCGTGGGACCTCCACAGGATTCCTGTGATGACCCAAGCCCCTGAGCAGCTCCTGTGACACGGGGCTGGCAGGTGTCCCTCTCCTCAGTGTCCCCTCTGCTCCCAAGGCATTTCTGGGTCAGCCTGCCGTGGTGACAGCCACGCTCAGGGTGAGTGTCCCCTCCTTGCTGCCACGCCTTTTCCAGAAGGAAAATGTGGCTGCTGCTCAGTGGAAGCCTGAGCAGATCCCTTCTCTCCTTTGATCTGCAGGAAAATTAAAAACCCTGATCCAGGAATATTAAAAACCCTAATACAGGAGTATTAAAACCCTGATACAGGAATATTAAAAACCCTAATACAGGAGTATTAAAACCCTGATACAGGAATATTAAAACGCTGACATAGGAATATTAAAAACTCTGAAACAGGAACATTAAAATCCTGATGCAGGAATATTAAAAACCCTGATTCAGGAATGTTGAAACCCTGATGCAGGAATTTTAAAACCCTGATACAGTAATATTAATACCCTGACACAGGAATATTAAAACCCTGATGCAGGAATATTAAAACCCTGATTCAGGAATATTAAAACCCTGATGCAGGAATTTTAAAACCCCTGATATGAACACACTAACAAGCCTGGCAGTGGAGGTGATTCTCACCCCGTTGGCAATGGTCTCCCAGCAGTGTAATGAGATTTATGCTAGCAGAGACTCCAGCCCATTGAATTCACCTGGGTTTGAGTTGTGTTCAATCATTTGATTTATGGCTTACAAATGCAATTAAATTAAACCCAACACCTTTACAATTTTTCTGGCTGCTTCTTTGGCCAGACCCACGAGAAGCAGCTCCTTGCAGTGCCTTTCACCTGGATTTACTGACAAAAATCAGAACTTTCTTGCAGGTGAAGCCTTGCTAGAAACCAACACCATTGTAGACTACATCTACAGCTCGCCGTCGCTGCGCTGCGTGCAGACAGCCCACAACATCCTGAAAGGTGAGAGCACAGGGGAAGGCTGGGTTCTTAAAACATCCTGACAGGTGAGAGCACAGGCTGGGTTCTTACAGCATCCTGACAGGTGAGAGCACAGGGGACGGGCTGGGTTCTCTCAGAATTCTGTCACTGTTTCCAGGCATGCAGCAGGAGAACACGCTGAAGATCCGGGTGGAGCCAGGCCTGTTTGAGTGGACCATACACATGAAATATTTTTTTTTTTCATTTTTATGATGAATAATGTTTTAATTATTTACAAATCAGTTCTAGGGCATTCTGTCATAGAATTCTCTCCATTTCGCAGGCATGCAGCAGGAGAACACGCTGAAGATCCGGGTGGAGCCAGGCCTGTTTGAGTGGACCATGAAATAAATTTGATTATTTTTATTTTTTTATAATGAATTTTTTTAAAATTATTTACAAATCAGTTCTAGGGCATTCTGTCATAGAATTCTCTCCATTTCGCAGGCATGCAGCAACACATGAAATATTTTTTTTTTTCATTTTTATGATGAATAATGTTTTAATTATTTACAAATCAGTTCTAGGGCATTCTCTCATAGAATTCTCTCCATTTCCCAGGCATGCAGCAGGAGAACACGCTGAAGATCCGGGTGGAGCCAGGCCTGTTGGAGCGGATCATGAAATAAATTTAATTATTTTTATTTTTTTATAATGAATTTTTTTTTAATTATTTGCAAATCAGTTCTAGGGCATTCTGTCATAGAATTCTCTCCGTTTCCCAGGCATGCAGCAGGAGAACATGCTGAAGGTCCAGGTGGAGCCAGTTTATGATGAATAATGTTTTAATTATTTACAAATCAGTTCTAGGGCATTCTCTCATAGAATTCTCTCCATTTCCCAGGCATGCAGCAGGAGAACACGCTGAAGATCCGAGTGGAGCCGGGCCTGTTCAAGCAGACCATGAAATAAATTTAATTATTTTTATTTTTTTATAATGAATTTTTTTTTAATTATTTGCAAATCAGTTCTAGGGCATTCTGTCATAGAATTCTCTCCGTTTCCCAGGCATGCAGCAGGAGAACATGCTGAAGGTCCAGGTGGAGCCAGGCCTGTTCGAGCAGACCATATACATGAAATAATTATTTTTCATTTTTATAATGAATATTTTTTTACTTATTTACAAATCAATTCCAGGGCATTCTCTCAGAATTCTCTCCGTTTGCCAGGCATGCAGCAGGAGAACACGCTGAAGATCCGCGTGGAGCCGGGCCTGTTCGAGTGGACCAAGTGGGTGTCGGGGAGCTCGCTGCCCGCCTGGATCCCGCCCGCAGACCTGGCTGCGGCCACGCTGAGCGTGGACACAACCTACAGGTACCACGGGGGCTGGGGCTCCCGCGGGGCTCCGCACCCAGCTCTGAGCAGGGGGGAGCTCAGGGCTGACTGGAAGAGCTGCTGAGGCTCTCAGAGGAAACTCGGAGCAGGCTCGAGGCTGCTGTGCTGAATGTGGCCTGAAAATTACATATAAATATATACATTTTTAAAAATATATAGAAATATTAAATATATATATATATCTATGTCTGTATGTATGTGTATATGTACATTTGTATGTATATATATAAAATAATATCTATAAATATGTACATATATGTATATAAAATATATACATGACCTGAAAATTATATATATATATAATATATATGTGTGTGTATATCTATGCTAAAATATATATAATATATAATATATATATTAATTCTATACAATATATGCAGACTATATATATGACCTGAAAATTATGTTATAAATATATATAAAATATGAAATATATAGATAAATATATTATAGAAGAGATATTATTTTTATATATTTATATATAAACTATATAAACACATGAATGCATAGAAAATATATACACTATGTATGAAATATATAAATATTGATAATAGATTGAATTCTTTATATATAAATTATATAAATATCATTATTTATAAAATATATATGTATAAAATAAGTTTTGCTTATTATCAAACAAATTTCCCACATCACTGGCAGTTCCTCCTGATCCCGGAGGTTGCACAGACCTTGCAGTTAGTTAGAATTCTTTATTTTTACAATATTCCCTGCTGTGTTTTTCTCCTCCCAGACCTCATATTCCCGTCAGCAAGTTGGTGGTTTCTGAGTCTTACGACTCCTACATCAGCAGAAGCTACCAAGTAACGAAGGAAATCATCAGTGAATGTAAAGGCAAAGGTGAGTGCTGCAGAGGGGATGGCAGTTCCAATATTCCTGCAATCTGTCCTCTGAGGGGATGAATTCCCACCCCGGAATCTCTCATCCTCTCTCCCAGAAGCATCAGAAAGTCCTGAGCTTTAATTTCAGATAAACTCTTCTTACAGGAGAGGGCCATAAGGTCAAATAGCAGAATTATTTTAGGGATCCCAACCCATTGGAATGATGGAAATTTATTCCCAAGGGAATAAATTGATTATTTTTCAGATACATCACCTTACACAAGAGGTCCATAAAGCCAAATAGCAGAATTATTTTAGGCATCCCACTGGAATGATGGGAATTTATTCCCAAGGGAATAAATGAATTATTTTTCAGATACGTCACCTTACAAGAAAGGGCCATAAAGTCAAATAGCAGAATTATTTTAGGGATCCCGACATATTGGAGTGATGGGAATTTATTCCCAAGGGAATAAATGGATTATTTGCCCTCTGCTGTGTGTTCCCAGCACTACATGGGACATTTTCCCTCCCCTGTCTGAGCTCCTCCAAATTATATTCCCTTAAAAACGTTAGAACATTTCTCCAAACACAATATTGAATTTTTTTTTTAATCCCTAGCTGTCATTGTTGATCCACAACATTCTGAGAATCCCTAAATTCTCAGAATTTGTGTAAATTCTGGTGTTTTCACTGATTTCCTCTCACTGACCTGTCTCTGCCTTCTAAGCTTTGATTTTAATGGTTTGCACACAAAACTCAAAAGCACAGTGGGGCATTGCTCGTGAAGGATCTCAGAAATGGAAATGCAAAGCTGCCACTGTGCAAAGCCAGCAAGTGAAATTAAAGTGTTTGTTGTAATAGGAATTAATTTTTGCGTAGGCAAAAAGCATCTGCTTCCCAACCCAGCTGAAATCTCACTGGAATTCTTGTTTTTTTCCAGAAAGCATTTTCAAACCAAGTAGGAGTGAGTTAACCACCACCCTGAAAATTGAGAAATGCTCTAAACATGTTAACAAATCTTATTTTCCCCTTCATTCACTATTGTATTTGTGGGGTGCCCCGTGGCAGGAAGGAATGATGAATCTGACTCCATGTTCTCAGAAGGCTAATTGATTATTTTGTGATCTATATTAAAGAATGCCATACTAAACCATACTAAAGAATACAGAAAGGATACACACAGAAGGCTAAAAAAATAATAATGAAAATTCGTTACTCTCTCCAGAATCCCAACACAGCTTGGCACAGATTGGCCAATGAGTCAAAACAATTCACATGGAACCAATGAAACAATCACCTGTGGGTGAACAATCTCCAACCACATTCCAAAGCAGCACAACACAGGAGAAGCAAATGAGATAAGAATTGTTTTCCTTTTTCTCTGAGGCATCTCATCTTCCCAGGAGAAAAATCCTGGGCAAAGGGATTTTTCAGAAAATACAAATGTGACAATTCTCAGTTTGATGTGTTGTTACAAAGTGTTTTAAAAGGCTGCTTGATCTGGGGCACCAGCCCCTCACCCTGCCTTTAGCTCCCTCCTCAGGCTGCGTTTCTCATTTTATTTCAGGAAATAACATCCTGATCGTGGCTCATGCCTCCTCCCTGGAGGCCTGCACCTGCCAGCTCCAGGGGCTGTCACCCCAGAACTCCAAGGATTTTGTACAGATGGTCCGAAAGGTAAGGGCCAGCAGGAGCAGGGCCCTGGCTCTGCGGAGACAAAAGCAGCTGGAAATCTGCTGGAGCAGGGTTTGGGCTGAGTTTCACTCATTTCAGGAGTCAGGAGGGTGAGCGAGAAGGGTTTGAGGGGCTGGAGTAGAATGTGGGGTCACTGACTTGAGTTGGTGCTTTGGAGGGTCAGATGCCCATTTAAGATGGGTTTGTAGAGAGACTCTTTGGTGCTGGAGAAGGGTTAGAGGGGCTGGGGCAGAATGTGGGGTCACTGACTTGAGTTTGGTGCTTTGTAGGGTCAGATGCCCATTTAAGATGGGTTTGTGGAGAGACTCTTTGGTGCTTTGTGGGGTCAGGTGTCCATCTAAAATGGGTTTGCAGGGACTATTTGTGCCTTGTGGGGTCAGATGCCTACCTGAGATGGGTTTGCAGGGTCTCTTTTGGGCTTTGTGGGGTCAGATGCCCACCTGAGATGGGTTTGCAGAAACTGTTTTGGGTTTGTGGGGTCAGATGTCCACCTAAAATGGGTATGCAGGGACTGCTTGTGCTTTGTGGGGTCAGATGCTCACCTGGGTTTGGTGTTTTGTGGGGTCAGGTGTCCATCTAAGATGGGTTTTCAGGGACAGTTTGTGCTTTGTGGGATCAGGTGCCCTCTTGAGATGGGTTTGCAGGGACTATTTGTGCCTTGTGGGGTCAGATGTCCACCTGAGATGGGTTTGCAGGGACTCTTTAGGGCTTTGTGGGTACCAGGGGCTGTGCAGAGAGCCCCAAACCCCTCCAGCACAGCCAGCCAGGCACTTCAGCCCTACAGCACTTCCCCTGCTCATCTAAAGAGATGTTAACCACCAAAAAGCTGGAAATTATAACAGGTTTTTATTTCCTCTCCTTTCCTGCCCTCTGCAGCTCCCTGGGGTATTCCGGGCTCATCTGGGAACCCCTGAGCTGCAGGAACATCCACATTTCCCCCAAAGCTGTGCTGGTTTGGGACCACATTTACTTTGAGCTGGTCCCTATTTAAACCTACATTCCATTCAAAACAACATTCCATTCAAAATTACATTTTTAAAACTGAATTCTTAAACCTACATTCCATTCAAAACTATACTTTTAAAACTTGATTCATAAAACTACATTCTTAAAACTACATTCCATTCAAAACTACATTTTTAAACCCACATTCCAAGGGCATTATCTTGGTTTTTTCCCAGTGTTTTGCACAGGCAGTGGTGCACAGTCTGTCAATCACCATCTGAAAACGGACTTTGGGAGAGGGAAAGAGAGAAAAAAGGGTGAAATCTTGGAGTGGGACAGCAGGGCTTCACCCCTGGGGACTGCCCAGCTCAATCCCTGCTTTTTGCCTGAATTCCCACCTCTCTCCTCACAGATTCCCTACCTGGGCTTCTGCTCCTGTGAAGAACTGGGGGACACTGGTGTGTGGCAGCTCACAGACCCTCCCATCCTCCCTCTCACCCACGGACCAACGGGAGGCTTTAACTGGAGAGAAACCCTCCTGCAGGAGTAGGGAGAAGCCAGCAAGGCCAGCCCTTCCCAGCGCTGGAGAACGCCTCTTCTTCCTCCTTGTGTTTTATTGCCAGCAGGAAAAACCCTCCTCGTCTGCCCTGCGGCTCCCTCCAAGCACATCTCACACAGCCACAGCCCTGCCCACAGCCTCATTTACAACAAAACGGGCTGATTTGAAGGGGGGAAAAAATATTAAAGTACAGCTTGAGGCTCTTGCACAGTTCAGGGTTGGTTTCCTCACCTTGAAGGCGCTCTGGTGACACTTTCACTGCCACTGCAGGGACAAGGAGCCCTGGGTCAGGCAGGGTGCTGGGGGTGTTTTCTCACTGCTGTTTTTGCAAAGTGTCTGCAGCCTTGTTCAGCACCTCGTGCTTGCTCCACTGCCAGCCCCCAAAGCCTCAGCAGCTTCCAGAAAAATAAAAGGGTTTTGTTTCCTTCCCCCAGGCTGGAAATGAGTCCAGCGTTGCCTCTGCAGGCTGCCCCAGGTTGTTCCTCCCTCTCCTCTGAGCAGACAGAGGTGGGAGTGCTCAGAATGTGCTGGATGTTGGGCAGAGATTGGTTGGTATTTGGGAAAATTCTGAATTTTACATCAGTTACAGGTGAACTGCAGTTCCAGCTTCCCTAAAGAGGAGAAACAACTGGGCTGGAGCAAACCCCCAAAAAAAGAGAAATACTTGGGATGGAAGAAACCCCAAAAAAGGAGAAGGAATTGGGATGGAGGAAACCCCCCCAAAAAAGGAGAAATAATTGGGATGTAACAAGCCCCAAAAGAGGAGAAACAATTGGGATGGAGGAAACCCCAAAAGAGAAACAATTGGGATGGAGAAAACCCCAAAAAAGGAGAAAAAATTGGGATGGAGGAAACCCCCAAAAAAGAAAAACAATTAGGCTGAACAAACCCCCAAAAAAGGAGAAATAATTGGAATGGAACAAACCCCAAAAAAAGGAGAAACAATTGGGCTGGAGCAGCCCCAGAGGGGCTGAGCTCAGGTTGCAGCTGCCCATCCTGTCCATGCTCAGAGCCTGGCCAACATCCCAGCTATTCCCACAATCCACAGGATAAATATTCCATTATTTCTACTTTCAGGACTGTGTAACACCCCTTAGGCCACTCGTAAGTGCTTTATTTCAGCAGGGATGGAACTGAAAAGTCAGGGAGAAAATTTAGGACAGGGCAAGGGAAAAAAAAATCCCGTTCCTGTGTGGTTTTATCGCTGTCAGGTTCATTTTTAATTGCCAGTTAAATTATTTTTGGCTGTGTGCAGACATTCTGAGGAGCATTTCTGGCTTGTTTTCATCCATGCAAAAAAAAAAAATTAATTAAATACTTGACAATCACACCAAAAAAAATTTTTTTTTGTTTGCTGAGGTGTGTGAATTCTCCAGATTTTTTGTTTCATGCCAGCGAGGTGTAAATTGGGGCAGGAAATATTGTTGTATTCTAATATTTATTGCTCAGATCCTGCTGGAGTTGAGTGACATTAAAAGGAGATTTTAGGGGCACGAAACAGAGAGGGAGCAAAAGCTGAATGCACAATTTGAGTGGTGTCAGCTGCTCTTTGATATAGTAATAGAGAAAAAAGTGTTCTGCTTGAGGAGGTAGATGTTCAAATACTCTTCTTTAAAAAAATATATATATTTTTGGATGTTTGGGAAATATTTTGACAATTGTAGTCTTGTCTCGAATTAGGTGTCAGGAATCACAGGGAGAAAAATCTTATTTTCTTCAGCATTTTGAGTTTCCTTGGGGGTTTTGTGTTAAGCAGTCTCGTGTTGAAAAGGCTTTTTGGGTGGAAAAAAAAGAGAAAAAATGTTGTTCCTTTTAAATTTCTAATTGAGAGGTTAAAAAGACAAAAGAATTGCTGCTTCACTTTCACCCCATTAATGTGGATTTAATGCTCATTAATGTGGATTTAATGTCTCACCAGTGGTTTGTCCCAGAACATTCAACTTGAGCTCTCCAAAATCTTTTCCTTCACTGTGAGCTGCATCAGATCCCAAGTTTTATTCTAACAGCACTTCCCAGGTTTTCCCTTCTCTCCACAATTAAGGGAAAAAAAAAAGCTGCAAACCTGCCAAGAATAAATAGTTCATTTTCATCATTTGCAATGTATGGCTTAGGGAAAAAAAAAAAAACCAAGAATTAAATTGACATTACACTCAAATCAACAGAGCTTTGCTTGTTTATGCAAAATGAGGATCCAGACCGTGATAATTTCAGTAAAAATTGGTATTTCCCTTTTCACTCCACGCAGCAGTTTCAGACAGAAGCTGGCTCAGGCCAGGGGACTCTGAATTTAAAGTGAATTTAAAGAGTGATCGTTTTTATCCCCAAATAATGGCTTTGGTTTGTGGTTTGGTTTAATTTCGAAAGAGGCACAGAGGAAATGATTTGGAAATGAGAAGTAGGAGGGATGGGGGAGCAGAGTGCCGGGATGGTGTCGCTGAACAAAAATGCAATTAACAGTGGCTGTTAATTAACAGGTTGGCTGCAAAGGCTCTAAATCACTTCTTGCTGCTCCCCACTTCCTCAAATTCATCCCCCAGGGACTCTTCATAACCCACAACAGAAAATACTCAGCCAGTTCCTTCATTATTTCCCCTTGAAATGTATTTTCCAAACTTTCTCTCCATGACATCTCTTCAGACTTGATGTTACCAACAGCTCCTTTTTCTTTCGGTTTTCTTTCGTTTCATTTTCAACCTGTTGTATCATTCTGTTTATTATGGATTTTATTTTTTATTTAGCGTGAGCAGATTGTATTTATTTGAGAAAAAAAAAAACGTTTGCTGTTTTAAAAACCCAATAATTGTATTGCCAAAAAAGTTTTGAGTGCTAACAACTGTCAAAACAACCACTGCGTTCGAATTTGCTTCTCACATTAAATGGAACTCTGAAAAGTCCGGCACAAATATCTCGAAGGTGATTTAATAAAGATGCCAGGCACCCTTCCTAGTTCAGATCTCCTCCGGAGCGTGGTGGGATTTTGAGCTGCGTTTTTCTTTTTTTCTCAGGCTGAAATTCACTCACTTGACAGCAGATGGCACAAAATTCCCCCGACTCCGGCTCGCCGTGCCCGGGGATGGGCTTTTCTCTCTGAATTCAGATTTTCCCCGGAGTTATTTCCCTCTCGGGTCTGGCTGTGTGGGACAACACAACTTTCAAACCAAACTCACTTTTCCAACACATCTTTCTTAATCTGGATTTTAAATTTTTTTTATCTTTCAACCCAGCTGCTCTAAATTCATGACTTTCAGCTCTGTCTTCCAGTAAAATTGATTCATGATGATGAACACAAAAGGAGATTTTATCAACCCAATACCCACTGAGTGATCACCTGAAACAGGTCCTAATAAACCAGGAATAAAACACACCATGTGTTCATAATTCATTTTCTCCACTTCACTCAAGCACACACAGGTTTTAAACAATAAATATCTAATTAAATTCCGTTTATTTTGACTGTCATGGTTGTCCACACCAAATTTTGAGCAGTTGCAAAGGAGGGCCAGAAGAGGATCTGCCAAAAATTCTTTTTGGGAATCACAAACCATGAGATAAATGTGATGTTATCACACAGGCTGCAATCATCAGACCTGCAAGGGGAAACCCCAATTTTGTCCCCTGGCACCTGCTGGTGTCCCCATCCCTCCTCCCAGCACCTCCTGCCACAACCACAGGCAGCAATTCCTTTTTCCACTGCTGCTCCTGCAGCATCCCCGCAGGCACAGCCAGCCAAAAACCTCCTGGCAACACCACAGTGCCACAAAAGGGACTTTTTCTTTTTAGTCCAAGCATTTAAAATGGGTTTTTAGGCAGCCTTGACACATCCACGAGTGACATTTTTTAGTCCAGACATTTTAAATTGGTTTTCAAGCAGCCTTGCCACATCCATGAGTGACTTTTTTTTTTAATTCGGCATTTTAAATGGGGTTTTAGGCAGTCTTGCCACATCCACAGGTGTTATTTTTATAATTCAGGCATTTTAAATGGGTTTTTAAGCAGCCTTGCCACTTCCACGAGTGACATTTTTATAATCCAAGATTTTAAATGGGTTTTTAAGCAGCCTTGCAAACTTCCACGAGTGACATTTTTAATCCAAAGATTTTAAATGCATTTTCAAGCAGCCTTGCCACTTCCACGAGTGACATTTTTTAGTCCAGCCATTCAAAACAGGTTTTCAAGCAGCTTTGCCACTTCCACAAGTGTAATTTTTATAATCCAGGCATTTAAAATGGGTGTTGAACTGCCTTGCCACATCCACGAGTGACATTTTTAATCCAAAGATTTAAAATGCATTTTCAAGCACCCTTGCCACATCCACGAGTGACATTTTTTAATCCAGTCATTTAAAATGGGTTTTTAGGCATCCTTGCCACACCCACAAGTGTCATTTTTATAATCCAGGCATTTTAAAATGGGTTTCAAGCAGCCTTGCCGCAGCCACCGCTGCCTTCCTGGCCTGGGCAGTGACATCCCGGGCCACCACAGCAGCAGGGACACCCCACTCCACGCTTCCCAGACCTTTTCCCTTCCCCCTGCCCGCGATCCCCCCGAGCTGAGCCCGTGTCCCGCTTTGGGGGCTGCTCTGAACTCGGGAGTCCCCGCTGCTGTCGCCCACCAGTTCCTGCGGGGGACCATGAGGTCACCGATGTCACAGCAGCCACCACCAGAGAGGAAACTCGAGCTGGGGCACAGGGAAGGGACAGCGACCCCGGCGCTGATGAAGTCACGGTGGATGTGCTGAAAAGGGAGCGGGGACAGCGGCAGCCCCGCAGAGAGGAAGCTGAGCCCAGCCAAGCTCAGCTCAGCCGAGCCCAGCTCAGCCGAGCCCAGCTCAGCTGAGTCCAGCTCAGCTCAGCTCAGCTCAGCCGAGCCCAGCTCATCTCAGCCGAGCCCAACTCAGCCCAGCTCATCTCAGCCAAGCCCAACTCAGCTCAGCTCATCTCAGCCAAGCCCAACTCAGCTCAGCTCATCTCAGCTCAGCCCAACCCAGCTCAGCTCAGCCGAGCCCAGCTCAGCTCAGCTCATCTCAGCCGAGCCCAGCTCAGCTCATCTCAGCTCAGCCGAGCCCATCTCAGCCCAGCCAAGCTCAGCCAAGCCCAGCTCAGCCAAGCCAAGCTCAGCCCAGCCAAGCCCAGCTCATCTCAGCTCACCTCAGCCCAGCTCAGTTCATCTCATCTCATCCAAGCCCAGCTCAGCCGAGCCCAGCCCAGCCCAGCCCAGCATGAGCGTGCCCGGCGCGCTGCTCACCGTGCCGCTGCTCCTGCTGCAAGGTAAGCCCGGGGCTGTCTCAGCCCAGCTCTCCTCCCCAGCCCAGCTGGGAAAAGTTCCCAGAGCTGCAGCACAGGGCACAGGGCTGTGCTGCTCGTGTTGGGGTGACAGAACTGCAATGTCACCCCATTTCATCTCATCTCATCTCATCTCATCTCATCTCATCTCATCTCATCTCATCTCATCCAAGCCCATCTCAGCCCAGCCAAGCCCAGCTCAGTCCAAGCAAGCCCAGCCCAGCCCAGCCCAGCCCAGCCCAGCATGAGCGTGCCCGGCGTGCTGCTCACCGTGCCGCTGCTCCTGCTGCAAGGTAAGCCCGGGGCTGTCTCAGCCCAGCTCTCCTCCTCAGCCCAGCTGGGAGAAGTTCCCAGAGCTGCAGCACAGGGCACAGGGCTGTGCTGCTCGTGTTGGGGTGACAGAACTGCAATGTCACCCCATTCCCAATTTTGTCACCCCATTTAGGGGTCAGGGAGCTCACTGAGTCCTAAACCCAGGATCAGTGAGACCGAGTCACTGCTGGCAGCTTGAGCTGACAAAGCATCGGGGTATCCAAAGTTCTGCCTTAAATTTGGGCAGGGGATCACTGCTTGCTTTGCCCGGGTCAGAAATCCACGTGTGCCTTTGTGGGTGCATTGTGTGAAGTCAGAGCAGCTTAGGGAGAACGTGCAAAGCCCTTTGGAAAAGAAAAGCACTTTGGATGCTCAATCTCCTCACTCCTTAGAGGAGGCAGCTTATTTAGAGCTCCTTTGTCTCTGGGCACAGGAGTGTGACAGGTTCATGTCTGACTGTGCCAAACAGAGGATGCAGGAAGGATCTACCAGAGGATCCAGGGAAGGAGGGAGCAGGGCAGCAATCCATGACAGGATCCCTGCAGCATCACTCCTGACCTTGGCAGGAGAGATGGATGTATGATCCTGGGCCTGGAGCAGTTATTCCCTCTCTCCTGACAGACACTGGAGCAGAAACCTCTGCAGGGCTGTCACTGACCATTTGCTAATTCCCAGTTTTGCCCCAGACTCCTGCAGGATGAATTTGTAGCTGCTGCCTTGGCTTCCAGAATTAATTCAGCTCCATCCACAGGTCAGAGGCAGGACAAAAACAACTCATTAAATGGGGTGGCTGTGGGTTACAGGCTCACAGATCACTCTGCACCAAAATTTATTAAATGGTGTGGCTCTGAAGGTTACAATCTCACAGATAACTGCACCAAACTCATTAACTGGGGTGGCTGTGGGTTATAATCTCACAGATAACTCTGCTTTAAAACTCATTAAATGGTATTGCTTTGTGGGTTACAGGCTCACAGATAACTGCACCTGTGAGAAATAACACTCACTTCCAAAAATGTAAAAGGTTTATTAAAACCTTATCAGAATACACTGTTGCATTACTCATCTATAACAGCACTAAAACCAACTAATTAAACAGGATGATTGTGGTTCACAAGCTCACAGATAACTCTGTGCCAAAATGAACTCATTAAACAGGGTGGCTGTGGGTCAGAATCTCACAGATAACTCTGCACCAGAATTATTAAATGGGGTTGATTGTGGGTCAGAATCTCACAGATAACTGCACCAAAATCATAAATGGGGTGGCTGTGGGTACCAGTCTCACAGATAACTCTGCACCAAAATCATTAAATTCTAAATCATAAATCATTTCTGTGGGTACCAGTCTCACAGATAACTAACTGCACCAAAATCATTAAATTCTAAATCATAAATCATTTCTGTGAGTACCAGTCTCACAGATAACTCTGCACCAAAATCATTAAATTCTAAATCATAAATCATTTCTGTGGGTACCAGTCTCACAGATAACTCTGCACCCCTGCTCTCAGTGCAAGTCTCAGTGCAAGGAGCTCTCAGCCACTTCCTGGGGGCTCCAAGAACAGCAACCAGAGTAGAACCACTCTGCTGGGTGCATCCTGCAATTCCCAGCACCAAACTGCTGCCCTTTCTTGCCGAGGATCTGTCCCTTGGTGGCAGAGTGGTTTTTCCAGGTGGGATCCACGTGGGACAAAAGCCACCCCCGTGAGCTGCCATGGGGACATGTGCCACACTTGGTGAGCACAGTGGCTGCAGAGCAGAGCCCCCGTGCTGGGAACACTTACCCTGTGAGTCACGCTGTGAACAAAACCCATTTTCCAGTGGTCTCCCATGGAAATTACATTTCTGCCCCGGGTTGGAAAAGCAAGCAACACCCGCAGCTCTTCTTGCTCAGCCCGGCTGCTGTCACCCCCAGAGGTGTGACCTGCCAGACCCCACGCTGCTGGGGGTGACAGGAAACCAGCACGGGGACAGAAATACCCGAGGGGCCTGTGGAAAACCACACGCAGCCCCCAGCTGCCTCTAAACAACTCTCACCTCCTGCCACAGCTCCTCTCAGGGACAGGCACAGCCACGATCCCCGTGGGAAACTCCTGCAGGGAGACGGGGCTGGCTCTGGAGGAGCAAAAATCAGCTCCAGCAAAATTCCCGACAAAAAGAAGAAAATAAAAATAAAATAAAATTTCTGAGCTATTTAAAATTTTTAAGAACGTGAAAATCTTCCCCAAAGCCCAGAAATATTCATTTCCCCAAACTGCAGTGGGAACTGGCAGCCGACAGCTACATGGAAAATCAAATCAAAACACACAAAACAGGAATGAAAACAAAACTCTCCTGCTGCCTGTTTGCTCAGCTCCAAGCCAGGCACCAATGTTAGGATTCTCCAGGGCATGGTTTTTGTCTGGAGAAGGCAATTCATTCCAGGTCATCAAATATTTTCACTAAGTGTTTTATCTGCCTTAGAATGGCTGGAGAGAAAAAAAACACATTTTACTGCTCACCTGTGAAATGAGCTGGGAGAAGAGAGAGTGAAATTTCATTTTAGTAACCTCTGCCAGGCCAGGTTTGGGGTTTTTTCAAAAGAAGTTTCATTTCTGAGTAAAAAATCCTCATTTTTAGAGGTGTTGGGAAATCATTCACTGCTCAGTCACACGCTGAGCAAATGGGACATAAAATCAGAGAATGGTTTGGGTTGGAAGGGACCTTAAATATGATTTAGTTATAATCATGGAATAAGTGAAAATGGAATGTTTGTGTTTAAATACGGGGAGAGAGTGCAGGAAATTGGTCTGCTTCAGTTCTTTATTGGCTAATAATGAAATATTTTCTTGGCTAATAACTAAAACAGGTTTGATAATTAAATCAGGTCGTGTTGGCAGGTGGAGATCCCAAATCTTTGTCACACAGATGACCTGTGATGACCTGTCCAATGACAATAATTTATTTATAACCCTACAACCAATAGTGGTGATGTAGAAGTATTAAAAAAACCACTGCAGAAAAGGAAAATTAACACATTACTGTGTGCAAAATATCCCTGCTTTGCTTCATGTCACAATTTCCAACTTGTTTTTCCCCCTGGTGCGTGGCAGGGGCGTTTCCAGGGGCTGCCAGTGACTCTGTGACTCTGAAGGAAGGAGAAAACCTAAATCTCAACTGCACCTTCAGCACCCTCAGCAACAACAACTTCACCCTGCAGTGGGTAAACCCCAAGAATTTCACCATTTTCCTCAATGCCCAGCGGGGTAAGTGTGAAACCCCAGCGTGGTGGCACTTCCCACCAGGGCTGGGGACACTGAGCTGGCCCTGCTGCCACCCTGGCCACGGGGGTGCCCAAAGTGCCAAAGGTGGGGGGGTTGTAGCTGGGTCCAGAGGATCCTCTCCCTTCGTGGTCTCCAGAAATTGGTGCCTCTTGGGGCTGCCAAAAAACAGAGGCCAGACAAAATTAAAATAATTAAAAGCAGTTTTATTTATTGAAGGGCCTTCAGGTACATTTAGGGCAGACAAAACCCACCCAAAAATTGATAATTAGTCACAGGTTTTCACCCTTTTATAAGTTTGGTCCATTTGCATTTTGGGGGTGAATCTTCCAATTCCAGCTTCAGCTAATGAAGTCATTGACCCCAAGTTTGCTCCCCCAACTCCCTTTTGTTTCCATCTCTCAGGCCTGAGGCAGTGAGGTGTCCTTGATTGCCAGGCCTGGGGAGGAATTGTTGTGTCTGCCCCAAATGGGGAAGCAGCAGCTCCCACTGTGTGTGGAGTTTGGAGTTCTGCACTAAAGAACTGCAGGATTGCAAAGAGATGGAAAATAGAAAAACTGAAATCCTGAGGCACCAACTCCTTCCCTCGTGGGGGCTGAGCTGCAGCCCCTTCCTGGCAGACGAGCAGTGGTGGTAAATTGGTAAATGATTTCCTGGTGAAAAGGAAACCCCCAGCAGCAGAGCTGTCAGCGCTGAGCTGCAGCTCCCAGCAGCACCCAGAGGTCAGCACAGAACCCACCCCTGGCTTTGAGGGGACAGGAGGGGACATTCCTGGCAGCCCTGACACTCCTCCACTCACAGGAATTCGGTGCAGTGCATCAGGAGGAGATTTTGGGGAAATAGCAGTGATTTTGAAATGTGCTGGCAAAGCTGAAGTTCCCATTTCTGCTTTCCCCCCTCCCATCTCTCCATCCTTCTCTCTCCTCCTCTTGGTCCAAATGCAGGGTGAGGAGTCCCTTGGCCTTCCCCCTCTGCAGCTATTCAACATTCCTTGTCAAATCCTTTCAGTTTTAATTATAAGAATGCCTGGGATTCACCCAAATTGCTGGGATTTCCTTCCAGCTCAGTATTTTGTCAAAACCTCAGCTAAAAAAAATTTAAAAAAAATAAAAAGAGAAGTTTTGAAGTCTCTTTCCCCCTGATGTTTGTACAAACCCCCAGTTTCAGTTCAATTTAAGGGCAGAAAGTTGCATTTTCTGTGCTGCACTTGTGGGAAAAGTTCATGGACTTGTTGGGCTGACCCTGAGGGTTCCTGTAAATTATGCAGCTGGAGGAAAGGATTAAAGATTAGAAAGTCAAGAGAGAGAGACAACTACCACAGAGATGGCAAATGGATCCAATTTGCTTGGCAATCCAGTCCCCTCTTGTGGCAGCAGCTCTCTGGCCACAGAGAGTGGGCACAGAAAAGAGCACAGATTTTTATTTTTTTTTCCCAGAAAAATCCCAGAAAGTTGTGTAGAAGCTGTTGGAAACTTAGAGGAAAATAATTCAAACAATTTTTATCTCTCTTTCTGTAACAATTGCTTATAGATATGGTTCTCTAGAGTGTGTTATGGATAACCAGCAACAGTGTGTGAGACGTTCTCACTTTGAGACCAGTCAGGTCTTAGGTCCACCATTGTTTTTATAAGAACTGGAGATTTCTAATGATAAAGTGTCTTTCATGCCTTCTGGATCGTGGTGTCAATGCTAATTATTACCCAGCTGGGGGTCTGCACCACACCCTCCAATAATGCTGATTACAAGGAAAAGAAGCAATAATTCTGATGAAAAGGAGGTAGAAAATGCCTCTAAACTGATCCTAAATCTCCCTGCTGCAGCTGCTCCCTCCCACCCCGTGCTGGAAGTCTCCCAGGATGAAGAAAGAGGCATCAAACTCTCCTGCTACACCCGGGGGGGCAGACCCCAGCCCCAGATTATGGGGGTCTGCACCACACCCTCACACCCTCCAATAATGCTGATTACAAGGAAAAGAAGCAATAATTCTGATGAAAAGGAGGTAGAAAATGCCTCTAAACTGATCCTAAATCTCCCTGCTGCAGCTGCTCCCTCCCACCCCGTGCTGGAAGTCTCCCAGGATGAAGGAAGAGGCATCAAACTCTCCTGCTACACCCGTGGGGGCAGACCCCAGCCCCAGATTTCCTGGCTGTTGGACAACGGGATCGAGCTCCCAGGTAAGAGCTCAAAGACTCTTAGAGCACTAAAATTGGTTTTTGTCAGTTTTGGGTGGTTTGAAGATGCTGGAGGGTGAAATATCAGCTGGGTCTGCCACTCCTGCCTACAGCTTGGGGCAGGTCTGGGGAACAGTCAGCACGAAATTCCAATGGGATGAAATAAAGCCCAAATCCTGGAACCTCAGCACTGAATTCCACTGCGATAAAATGAAACAAACCCCTGAAATTTCAGCACTAAATTCCACTGGGATGAAATGAACCCAGAATCTTGGAACTTCAGTACAAAATTCCACTTAGGTAAAATAAATCCAAGCCCCTGGAACCTCAGCTCTAAATTTCAGTGGGATAAAATAAACCCCAAACCCTGGAATTTCAATACTGAATTCCACAAGGATAAAATGAACCCAGAATCTTGGAATCTCAGCACTGAATTCCACTGGGATACATTGAACCCAAAATCCTGGAATTTCAGCTGAATTCCAGTGGAATAAAATAAACCCAAACCCCTGGAATTTCAACACTAAATTCCACAGGGATAAAATGAACCCAGAATTTTGGAACCTCAGCACAGAATTCCACTGGGATAAAATGAACCAAAATCCTTGGAATTTCAGCATTAAATTCCACTGGTATAAAATAAACCCAAAATCCTGGAACCTCAGCACTGAATTCCACTTATTTGAAATAATTCCACTTATTCCCCTTTATTTGGGGTAAAACAACCCCCAAAATCCTGAAGCCACGATTTTCAAAGCCCCAACAGCCTTTTTTCTCCTTCAACCTGCACAAATAACTGCCATTCTAGCAGTGCTATAAATAACATTATTCTACAAATAATAATAATGCCTTATCAGCTCCAGTGCACATCTGTATCAAAATGTGAGAAAAACACTCAGGGATGCAAATGGCTTTTCCTTCACACATCAACAAGCTCTTACTTGTGCTTTGCATCATCAGGAAATGTATTTAAAGCTGAACCTGTAACCTCCCCCGGTCCAAGATGGTTTATTTTTAAATTAGAGCTCTAGAAAACAGCAGAGAATTGTGTGTTCTGGCCTGAATATAGATGGAAATTAGAGTTAATAATAAGTCAGGCTGGCAGATAAAACCTGGGGGGTTTTAATGCAGAAAAGGTGAACACCTAGAGCAGTGCGTGGTGGAAAAGCAGGTTTTTAAATGCTGCCTGTGTTTGGGAAGAGCTGGGCTGTGTGTGAGGGCCTGGGAAGTCATAAAAACCTCAATATGCCCCCCAATTTTTTTATCCCTGTCTCTCACAGTGATTTTCTAGAACTGTGGGGTTCCCCAAGCCTGAAACCACCCTGATAAACTGAATTATTAGTGCCATCACAACACACAGTTCAGACACTAAACACCTCCTGCAAGCCAGCACTGCATTTCTCCAATATTTTAACAAAAACCTCTCCTTGCCTTGACCTCCTCCTCCCTTTGGAGCAGAGGGAACCCCTGAGCTGTGTCTGCTGCCTTGGTTTGTTTGGGGCTGCCCTTCAGAGCAGCCACATTCACATAAAAAAGGTGGGAGACACAAATTGAATTGTTTGAAAGATAAGAAATCATTGCCCTAATCGACTATTTCTCCAATTTCTGTGTTTTTCTCCATTTTTTGAAGGCTCGGAGTAACTCTCCTTCCTCCCCTTTCCATTCCCAGCTTTAATCACTTCCTGCAAATATTTACACTAATCAGAAAATAGCTAATAAATCTTAATTACTGACAACACCAGGGCTCAGCAGGGGCAAAGCAGCTGTAATTACTGAGCTGCTGCTGACAAAGATGATTTCTGAAATCCTTTTGGAGTGCTTACCTGGCCCTGCTGGGGATGGAAAAGAGGGCTGAGAAATGCTGATCTGGAAAGGTTCATTTGGAAATGGGGAATTTCTTTCATTTAAGGGTGACAGAGCAAGGGGAGCATCAGAACCTCTGCACTATAAACAAATCTTTCTAAATATAGAAGTTATATTCTAGAAATTATTTTGTAGAAAATTTCTATTTGTAAATACAGAAATATTTGTGTCCTTCAGATGAACATCTGAAACACCTCTCCCTCCACCAGGGCTGTTCACAGACTTCTCTGGTCACATCAAACACAACTTTATTTTCTGTATCATCAGCACTACCTGGAGTAATCAGTAATACTGGGAATCCCATCAGACTCCCCCTAATTCCTTGTGGCAAGGCAAGGAATCCTCGAGTGTGAATTCCAACAGCTGGAAAAGGGGAAGAGTCATACCTGTGCTGTAGAACGTGATTTCAGGGTGATAAAAATGCTTTTATTTATTTTATTTTATTTATTTTTTCTCCCACCGGGATTGCAGGTGACACCAGGCACCAGCTGGGAGCTGATGGGAAGAAATGGAGCACGAGGAGCACGCTGAGGATCCTCAGCTACAGCCCCAGAGTGACAGCCAGCTGCCTCATCCAGCACCCTGCGCTGGGGGCACGGAGGCTGCTGGCACCTTTCCCCTTCCAGGACCTGCCCAGCTCGGGTACTGCAGCTCCTCCAGCTCTGCCTCTCCAGCCCCGAGCTGGTGAAGATAATGCAGATGCACACAGAAGTGTGGGGTTTGCTTTTAAAATGAGGAACACGGGGCAAAAAAAGGGTTTGGAGCTGGTGAAGATGATGCAGACGCACACAGAAGTGTGGGGTCTGCTTTAAAATGAGGAACCTGGGGCAAAAAAAAGGGTTTGGAGCTGCTCCTCGGTGGCAGAGCTGAGCAGCAGCGCCTGCCCCAAGCTCCCCACAGCCAAGAGTTTCATTTGATTCCTCATTTCAGAGCAGCAAATACATTCTGAGGGCAGGAGAGCTGAGGGTGGGACTGGAAGTGAGACCCTTGAACAGCCAGAAAACCCAAACAATGCAGAGCATGGAGCAGGGCAGAAAACCCAAAAAACAATGCAGAGGACGGGACAGGGCAAAAAACCCAAAAAATGCAGAGCGGGCAGGGTAGTTTTTCAAGGATCTGCTCGGTGGCAAAGCCTTTTTATGATTTTTGTCATTTTTTTGGGGTGGGGGTTTCTTTAGGCTGCAAAAAAACAACCAGACTTTCAGAGGATGCAGAAGTTCCCAGTCCTTCAGAGAATCCAGCAGTTTCCAGTTCTCCAGAGAATCCAGCAGGTACCAGCCCCTCTTCATCCCCAGAGAATCCAGAAGTTTCCAGCCCCTCTACATCCCCAAAAGATCCAGAAGCTTCCAAACCTTCTGCATCCCCAAAAGATCCAGAAGCTTCCAAACCTTCTGCATCCCCAGAGAATCCAGCAATTCCCAGCTCAGCACCAGCCCAGCCAAACCTCACAGATGTCACGTTGAACGGTGAGTTTGGTCCCAGTCACCTGAATTTATCAAAGCTGAAATCACAATTACAGAAATGCTGCTGGGCACAGCAGGTCCCAGAGGAGTGTGGGACACAGGGTGCAGCATTTCCTGCTTGTTCCCTCCTCCTCCCTGCCAAAATCCCTGTCCTTGGAGGAAGAAGGGCAGGAGCAGGGTGGGAGGCAGGCTGGGATGCTCCGGATGGGCTGCACTAGATGGCACTGTGCAACAACTCTTCACACAATCACAGAATTCACAGAATCCCAGAATGACCAGGTTGGGAGAGACCCTAAAGATCATCGAGTCCAGCCCAGCCCCAACAGCTCAACTCAACCCTGGCCCCCAGTGCCACATCCAGGCTTTGTTAAACACCCCCAGGGATGGTGACTGCACCACCTGCCCGGGCAGCCATTCCAGAACTTTATCACCTTTCTGGGAAAAACTTCTTCCTGATCTCCAGCCTGTGTTTCCCTTGGTGCAGCTGGAGGCTGTGTGCTCTGGTTGTGTCAGTGCCTGCAGACAGAGCCCAGCCCCAGCTGAGCACAGGCACCTTTCAGGAGCTGTGCAGAGTGAGGAGGGCACCCCTGAGTCTCCTTTTCTCCAGGTGAGCACCCCCAGCTCCCTCAGGGGTTCCTCTTCATCCATGTTTGCACCAAATTCTACTTCCCAAAACCAGGAGGTTTTTCCAGCATAATTAAAATCTCCACAGCCCAAATAAATTACCCAAAACCCCACCAAGAGTTCTGCACCTGCTTAGCACGACAGGCCCTGCAGTGACAAATAATTGCTGCTTTAGAAACGCCCAAACTCTTGGTTTTTATTGGTTTAGAAGTGATCTATCAGTGATTGCAAACAGCACAAAATGAACATATCCTGGTAAAGCCTGCTCTGATAAATCCTGACACGTGTCAGGACAGCATCCATGGAAAGGGAGCCTCAATCTTGTACGGGGGCTGGAACCAGAGGAGCTTTCAGGTCCCCTCCAAGCCAAACCACTCTGGAATTCTGTGGCTTTTACTGGGTGTGAAAAGGAAAGGGGAATCTCTTCTTAATGCAAAGTTTTGGTACACACAGCACACACCATCATTTCAGCATTGCAAATCAAAGTCAATGCTTATGTATATAATTAAATTATTATTATTATTATTATTATTATTCTTTCAGGTCCCCTCCAAGCCAAACCACTCTGGAATTCTGTGGCTTTTACTGGGTGTGAAAAGGAAAGGGGAATCTCTTCTTAATGCAATGCTTTGGTACACACAGCACGCAGCATCATTTCAGCATTGCAAATCAAAGTTAATGCTTATGTATATAATTAACTTCTTCTTCTTCTTCTTCTTCTTCTTCTTATTATTATTATTATTATTATTATTTTATATATCCCTGTTCCATCTATATATGTTATATATTATATAACATATATAATGTATGATAATATGTTATATAATATAATATGTTATAGACTAATGTATATATATGTTATATATATAATCCTTTTATATTCTATCTTAAATGTTATATCATTATATATTATATTACACTAATTATACTAGTAATACTATTATATTAACTATATTATATACGATATATTATATCATTATATCATATATATAATATATATTATATATATGATATAAAATTATGTAATATATATTATATATGTATATATTATATTATATCATTATCTATTATATTATACTAATGATACTACTAATACTATCATATTAACTGTATTATATCCTGAAACTAAGTTCAAAACTTCATGAATTCATTATTCACATTTGTTAAGGTGATTTCTTCCCAATTCCCTGGGTGAATTCTGCTCTCCCAGAGATTTGTGTGTCTTAAAGATTGGTTGCACCTCATGGAAGGAGCTGACATAGGTGGTTAACTCCTTAGTTAGATTCAAATGAGAAATTTGGACCTTTGCTGTACAAAAGGAGTCAGAATTAGAATTTCCTGAAGGAAATCTGGACTTCACCTCCCTGCTGATCAAGGGGAGAAATTCAAGCAGTTGCAAAAGAGGATTTGTCTAGAAAATCTCAGAGAATGGAATGGGGTAACAGGGAGGAAATTCTGGGAAGCACAGCTGGAAAAATGAATTTGTTCTAGCAACCAGTGTGACTGCTAGAAATGATCACTGGAAGATTTTGGAAAGGAAAAGGTATACATAACTAAAGGAAAGGAAAAGGAAATATATATAAATATATAAATATTTCCTTTTATATATGAATAATATAAATAAATAAGATATATATAAAAGGAAAAATTATTCATACAAAAAGGTCTCTTTGCTCCAGTCAAATTTCCCGTGCAGGAAAGAAATTTGATTTTTCAGGAATGCATCAGCGGGGTGAAATCATTCCTGTTTGAATTCCCAGAAGTTCCCAGGGCATTTAACAGCACAAACCTGTGTTACAGAGCGAAATCCTGAATCCAAAGGGCTCCTGAAGAAGGAGAAGAACCTCCTGCTGCCCGTCCTGGTGGCCGCTCTCATCTTGGTGCTGCTCATCATTGTGCTGCTGTTCATGGTGAAGCTGAAGAAGGCGCACGGGGTGTGGAGGAGAGGTGAGCACTGGGACTGGTGCCTCGAGGCACCCCTGAGGTGCTCAGGCTGAGGGATCCCCAGTTTGGGACCCCTCTCTCGGGGTTTCTGTGAGATGATGGTGTATGAGACGGTGGGGATCTCTGTCAGGCTGAGAAATCCCAAATTTGTAACTCTTCTCTCAGGATTTTTGTGAGATGATCCTGTATGAGACGATGGCGATCTCTGTCAGGCTGATGAGATCCCAATTTTGTGACTCTTCTCTCAGGATTTTTGGGAGATGATGGTGTATGAGATGATGGTCATCTCTCTCAGGCTGATGAGGTCCCCAATTTGTGACTCTTCTCTCAGGATTTTCATGAGATGAAGGTGATCTCTCTCAGGCTGATGAAATCCCTGTTTTGTAACTCTTCTCTCAGGATTTTTATGCTCAAGGCAGAGGGTGAGAAGGAATAATGGGGGGAAAAAAAATCTCATTCTCTCCACTAATTTTTGTGGGGTTTTAATTATTTTATTTATTTAATTAATTAATTTTAAATAAATTTATAATTTAATTATTTTCTTTTTTATTTTATTTAATTAAATTTAAATCATTTCATTATTTAAATTAATTTTTGTGGGTTTTTCCCTCACAGAAAATGACGTTTCACAGCAAACATTGGAGAGTTATAAATCCAGATCTAATGAAGACAGTCCAGGCCATGAGAAGAATGGACAAGGTAAAAATCTTGAATTAACATATTCTTGTAAATATGTTCTTGTTTTAAATAATAATGAATTGTTGTTTTATTTAATTATAATAAATAATTTTAATAATAACCTTATAAGTGTTATAATAATTATAATATTCAATTAACATTGTGATATTTAATTATAATAAATAATTGTTGTTTCTTTAATTATAATAATTAATAAATAATTCTTGTTTTATTTAATTGCTGATGACTGTGGCCAGAGCAGGTGGCTGCCATATATAATATATAATATATAATATATAATATATAATAATTGTTGTGTTTTAGCTGGAAATCCCAAATCCAACCTGCAGTATGTAACAGAAGGACACGTGGAAACCCCAGAGAAGAACCTGGAAACCCCAGAGAAGAATCCAGAAATCCCAGAGAAGAACCCAGGCACCCAAACCACGGCAATAAATGAGGAAAAATTCACCTGTGGCAGGGAGACAGATGTGTAAGGGTGGGGAACGTGCAGGAAACTGCAAATTCCTGATGTTTGTGTGGAACTTTCCAGGGCTCTTGATTCGAGGGAGCAGGAGGGACAGGGAGCTCCATCCCAAAGCCACCTGCGGGGGGTTTTGTCACCCAGCAGGGCGGGGAGGGGGGCTGGTGCTCCTGGAAACCTGGCCTGAGCCACCTGGAACTTCAGAGCCTGAGCCGCCTGGAACTTCAGAGCATCTCACAAATCCCTCAGGAACTCCTAAATTATGGATTGATCAGCATTAAATAATGATCAGTCCTTCAAGTGCTCCTGGAAACCCGGCTTGAGCAACCTGGAACTTCAGAGCACATCAGGACCCTGTGCCACCAACAGTTCTGCACCCCATGTCCTCCTGGAAACCTGGCCTGAGCCACCTGGAACTTCAGAGCACATCAGGAACCTGTGCCACCAACAGTTCTGCACCCCATGTCCTCCTGGAAACCTGGCCTGAGCCACCTGGGACCTTCAGAGCACCTCACAAATCCCTCAGGAGCTCCTAAATTATGGATTGATCAGCATTAAATAATGATCAATCCTTCAAGTGCTCCTGGAAACCCGGCCTGAGCCACCTGGGACCTTCAGAGCACCTCACAAATCCCTCAGGAGCTCCTAAATTACGGATTGATCATTATTAAATAATGATCAGTCCTTCAGGTGCTCCTGGAAACCTGCCCTGAGCCACCTGGGACCTTCAGAGCATCTCACAAATCCCTCAGGAGCTCCTAAATTATGGATTGATCATTATTAAGTAATGATCAATGCCTCAGGTGCTCCTGGAAACCTGCCCTGAGCCACCTGGAACTTCAGAGCATCTCAAAAATCCCTCAGGAGCCCCAAAATTATGGATTGATCAGCATTAAATAATGATCAATCCTTCAGGTGCTCCTGGAAACCCGGCCTGAGCCACCTGGGACCTTCAGAGCACCTCACAAATCCCTCATGAGATCCTAAATTACGGATTGATCATTATTAAGTAATGATCAATCCTTCAAGTGCTCCTGGAAACCCGGCCTGAGCCACCTGGGACCTTCAGAGCATCTCAGGAACCTGTGCCTCAAACAGCTCTGCACCCCATGTCCTCCTGGAAACCTGGCCTGAGCCTCCTGGAACTTCAGAGCACCTCAGGAACCTCTGCCATGAGCAGCTCAGCACCCCCAGCAGCAATCAGCGCTCTCCAGGACACCCAGGCCCAAATTAAGATATTTAGGATTGATTTTGTCACCTCCTCTGTGACCACAGGTGCTACAACCCAACTGTGACTTTTCTTTTCTCCTTGGGACACCAAACCTGCACTTGCAGCTGGATTTAACCAAGCTGGAAAGTGGCCTGATGGCTAAAGGGTTAAAAATTAAAAAAAACCCAGCAATCCAACCCAAATTATTTGATGATTTGATGGTCCTGTGAAGGGGATGTCCCCCCTGGGCTGCCCAAATGCTGGGATGAGGGCAGCAGGAGAGCTGGGTCTCCTCCGGGGAGCCCTTCCTGCTCCAGGAGGGTAAAAGCAAATCCCTGCAATAAAGGAAATGTGAATTACGATGATTTTTGCCATTTGCTGAATGGTGATTTACATTTAAATGTGAATTACAGCGATTTTTTGTCATTTGCAGAATGTGAAAAATGCGTTTTTCTCACAGAGCCCCGGGGGATTTGGGGTGGGAAGGGAGCTCTGGCCCGGCAGGGTCACCCGGAGCAGGGACAGGACACATCCCGTGGGGCTGGGGTGGCTCCAGCAGGGAGAGCCAAAACCTCCCTGGGCTGCTGGGGCTCTGCCCCCTCCTGGGAAGGAAGCTCTTCCACTCCAGTTCCTCCCTGCACGAAGCCCAGAACGGGACAGTGAAATCTCATGAAATAAAACTCACTCGAGATTATTATTTCTCACTGGAAACTGGGGTTTGAATACCCAGTGAGATAAAAGGCCCTGTGTATTCCATTTTCCAATGGAAACAATTCCATATTTCAATGGAAATTATTCCATTTTTTGGTGGAAATAATACATTTTTTTCAGTGGAAATAATTCCATATTTCAGTGTAAAGAATTCCATTTTCCAGGGGACTATGATTTCTCACTGGAAATATGAAAAAATTAACGAAACTTGGGTTTGAGTGCACAATGAGATAAAAGGGCCTGTGTATGCCATTTTCCAATGGAAATAATGTCATATTTGAATGGAAACAATTCCATATTTCAATGGAAATTATTCCATTTTTTGGTGGAAATAATACATTTTTTTTCAGTGGAAATAATTCCATATTTCAGTGTAAAGAATTCCATTTTCCAGGGGAAACAATTCCATTTTCCAATGGAAATAATTCTGGTTTCCAATGGAAATAATTCTGGTTTCCAAATGGAAATAATTCAATATTTCAGTGGAAATACTTCCGTTTTCCAGTGGAAATAATTTCATTTTCCAATGGAAATAATTCAATATTTCAGTGGAAACAATTCAGTTTTCCAATGGAAATAATTCCATATTTCAGTGGAAACAATTCTATTTTCCAGTGGAAATAATTCCATTTTCCAATGGAAATAATTCCATTTTCCAGTGGAAACAATTCCATTTTCCAATGGAAACAATTCCATTTTCCAATTGAAATAATTCCATTTTCCAATGGAAATAATTCCGTATTTCAGTGGAAATAATTCCATTTTCCAGTGGAAACAATTCCGTTTTCCAGTGGAAACAATTCCATTTTCCAGTGGAAACAATTCCATTTTCCAGAGGAAACAATTCCATTTTCCAGAGGAAATAATTCCATTTTCCAATGGAAATAATTCCATTTTCCAGTGGAAACAATTCCATTTTCCAATTGAAACAATTCCGTTTTCCAATGGAAACAATTCCATTTTCCAATTGAAATAATTCCATTTTCCAATGGAAATAATTCCGTATTTCAGTGGAAATAATTCCATTTTCCAGTGGAAACAATTCCGTTTTCCAGTGGAAACAATTCCATTTTCCAGTGGAAACAATTCCATTTTCCAGAGGAAACAATTCCATTTTCCAGAGGAAACAATTCCATTTTCCAGAGGAAACAATTCCATTTTCCAGAGGAAACAATTCCATTTTCCAGAGGAAATAATTCCATTTTCCAATGGAAATAATTCCATTTTCCAGTGGAAACAATTCCATTTTCCAATTGAAACAATTCCGTTTTCCAATGGAAACAATTCCATTTTTCAGTGGAAACAATTCCATTTTCCAGTGGAAACAATTCCATTTTCCAGAGGAAAGCGGCGGCTCCGGGCGCTACCACAGCGCCCGCGGGAGGGGGGGAACCGCGCCCCCCCCCGCTCTGGTGGGTGCGGCCGGCGTCCTCGGGGTTGCCGTGACAACGGGACAGCGCGGCACGGCCCGGAATGGGCCCGGGCCGGGAACGGCGGGGACAGGGACGGGACACGGGACAGGGACACGGGAACGGCGGTGAGAGGGACAGGGGACAGGGACACGGGACAGGGACACGGGAATGGCGGTGAGAGGGACAGGGGACAGGGACAGGGACACGGGACATGGGACAGGGACACGGGAACGGCGGTGAGAGGGACATGGGACAGGGACAGGGACACGGGACATGGGACAGGGACACGGGAGAGGGACACGGGACATGGGAATGGCAGTGAGAGGGACAGACACGGGACACGGGACAGGGACATGGGACAGGGTGACAGGGGACATGACATGGGACAGGGGACGAAGGACAAGGACACGGGGCAGGGACACAGGACAGGGCACCAGGGGATGGCAGACTGAGAGAGGGGACAGTGGTGAGGGGACAGGGAGGCAGGATCAGGGACAGCAGACCAGGCAAGGGACATGGAAGAGGGGACCTGGGACAGGAGAGCGGGATGGAGGGGACTGGGACAAGGACATGGGAGAGAGAACAGGGATGGGGACAGGGAACTGGGACAGGGGATAGGGACAGGGGGTGAGGGAAAGGGGACAGAGAGCAGGGACAGGGGACAGGAGAGAGGAGATGGGGACAAGGACCAGGACAGGAGATCGGGGACAGGGAGTGGGGACAGGGGACGGGGTGAGGGAATGTGGGAATGGGAGTGGGTGGGGACACTGGGACAGGGGACATAGGATGGGGTGAGGGACGTGGAAAGGGACACAGGAGAGGGGACTGGGGCTGGGAGGAGGCAGGGACAGGGAGCTGGGGACAGGGCAGGCCTTGGGGACACAGTGGCCTTCCCCTGGGACTGAGGTCCTGCTCCAGACCAGGAGATTCCCCTTTCCCTGCCCATCCCAGGGCTGCCGTGCTCACTGATGGGAGCAGGGGACACCGGGGACAGCCCAGGTGTCTGCAGGGCTAAAATATCCAAAATTCTTTATCCCCAGGTGCTGAGGTGACACTGCCAGTGCACTCTGACCCTGCTGGTGCTGTGCTGGCACTGGGGCACATCTGAGCACTGAGCATCTGAGAACATCCCAGAACATCCCAGCCCTGAACATCCCAGAACATCCCAGCCCTGAACACTCCTTTTCCTCCCTCCCACCCCACCTTGGTAATACCTGGCAGACCAAACAACTTCTGATCACTTCAGCTGAGTGTAAAGAAATTCTCATCCTAATTTAGGCAGAGCTCCAGCTCCCCTGTGCTCCCTGTCACACCTTCTGATTTTACATGGCTAGAGGGTCTAAAGTTGCATGAAGAGAACAAAAATTTATTTTAATTCTCAAAGTTAACAGATGACAGATGCTTTGCTTCAGCTTAATTTTGTCACAAGCTGGTTTTGCATTATTTATTACCACCAATAGTTGAGATTTCATAGCAGTAAATTCTGTATTTGATATGTAAGATCTTGACATTATCGCTGAAAGGAAAATCAGTGGGAATAAGGGAAAATCAGATGAGAATTGATAGAGAATTGTTTGAACAAGAGAAGGTCAAGTTCTGAGCTTAAGCCAATGGTAGCAGCTTTTAAATATTATTAAAATGGTTTATGTGTTCTCCAAACAAAATGCAGTTTTTGAATATTATTAGAATATTTTATGTGTTCTCCAAACAAAATGCAGTTTTTGAATATTATTAGAATATTTTATTTGTTCTCCAAACAAAATGCAGCTTTTCAGTATGATTAAAATGTTTCGTGTTCTCCAAACAAAATGCAGTTTTTCAATATTGTTAAAATGTTTTATGTGTTCTCCAGACAAAATGCAGTTTTTCAGTATGATCAAAATGTTTTATGTGTTCTCCAAACAAAATGCAGTTTTTCAGTATGATTAAAATGTTTTGTGTTCTCCAAACAAAATGCAGTTTTTCAATATTGTTAAAATGTTTTATGTGTTCTCCAAACAAAATGCAGTTTTTCAGTATGACTAAAATGTTTTATGTGTTCTCCAAATGCAGGGCTGGCGTGACCCATCAGTGCCAAACGGGATGAATCCTTCAGGCATGAAATACATTCCAGTCTCTTCCCCACACACTTACACCACAAATAACATCCAGGTCCCTCCAAAAATCCTGGTGCCGCCCGTTTTCCAGCCTGCCAGCTGGGAACTGGGAAGGAGCTCTGCCTCCAGCCTGGAGGGCTCCCGGGATTCTGACCCGGAGGGCCTGGAGAAGGAGCAGCAGCGGCTGGCCCTGCAGCACAGCATCCCGCAAAACCAGGAGCTGCTGGGGCAGGAGGCTGGTGACATCCTGGCGGGTGACAGCGTGGATGAGGACAGCTTGGAGGAGATCAGTTCTGAAGAGGCAGGAGCTGAGTGCGACACCAAAAACAAAAGAAAACCAAGGATTTATGGCAGTGGAAGGTAAGGCAAAAACTTTAGTGGAGCAGAGTAATTCTGAAACTTTTAACCTGATGTTCCTCAAGGCCACGTTTAAACATCCTTCAGAAAGCATTAAGTGGGTGCATAAAATAAAATTGAATATCCTGGCATATGCATGGAAGGTTTAACCCTGGATAAATTGGGAATAATTCTTGAGTTTAAAGGGATTACATTAAACCCGAAGTAATAACAACGTGCAGTTTCAATTTAATAGTCTACTTAAAATAAAATGACAAACAAATGAAGGCTAAATGATTAATAGCATGCTTTTATTCACCTCCTCAACAAGCAAAATGGCCAGTTATTGAATATTTTATTGTGAGTGCAAATGATGTTAATTGTACTAGAAACATGCTCTAATTTTTAGTAATTTTTTTGGACTGAATACTGTGCTGAATGTGAGGCTCTTCATTAAATGGAAATTTGATTTTATTTTGTTTGAACTCAGCCCAGTAAGTACTCCAGTGCAGTCCATTAAGCAGAGCAAATATCACAGCACATACATATGAAACCCCCTCTCTACATCCATTACCAACCTCGGAATTTGAAGAGGAAATGCTGCAGCTGCTGTCTGCTCACCACACTTTTGTTGAGGAGCACAGAGTCCATCCAACCTCCCCACGGAGCTGGGGGCAGGAATAAAAGGTGCCCTTTTTTTGTCTGGGGATGATTAGGGATGAAGGAGCTCTTCACACTCATTTTGTCCCCGTGCAGTGACCTGGGCTGAGCCCCACAATTGGGTTCTGTGCACACATTTCAGCACAAAGGGACTCTTTAGCATTATCCTCTGCCATTTCAATCATTGCAATTAGCTCACATATTTCTGTACTCACTTCAGAGCAGCCTCACCTCGTGCTGTTTACCTGCCAGCTGGGAATAATGATGTTTTCCCTGGTGGAAATCAGCTCCAGGAGACCATGCTCACCTGGAAGGAAAGACAAAGAGATTATTTTGTTATTAGGAGCCACTTGAAATACAGGCAGAGGCATGTAGCTCGTTGAGAAAGGATGGATAAATGATTTATTTTTTAAAATATCATTAACAAGGCCAGAGGTTGGAGAATCCAGCAGATTTCTTTAACAGGAGCTGAAGAATCAATCAGGTCTCAGTGCCTGTAAATGTCCTCTGGCAGAGTCACCCAGAAACCAGGGCTGGACTGTGTTAAAAATTGTGTTAAAAGCTTTTTTTTCTCCCCCATTCCTTCCTCCTGCCTCTGCCTGCACATCTCCTGGAAGGCTGCTTGGATGGATTTGACTCCTGCAGTTGCTTTTCCTCCCGTTGGATCAGAAATTGGATCAAGTGGGGATTTTTTAAGGCACAGCATCTGGCTTTGCTTTATGACAAATGTAACTCAGAGCAGTAATTTGTCCACTTGTTAAAAAATCATCAAACACAGATTTTTCATTTATGTTTTTCTACTCTTATCTAATCACCGCCTGTTTTTTAATAAGAATTGATTTTTAATCTTTTCTTGAAGGAGTTTTTTACTCAAAGCATCACGATGTTTCACAGGAATGAGGAGAGAAAATAAGAACACAGAGCTGGAGGCTGTTCTTGTTTGGACAGTTTCAAAAGGACACTTGAAAACTGATTTTACCAAGAATTTCATTTTTATTTCACTCAGCAGAGCCTTCGAAGAAGGAACAACACAAATTGTCTTTTGTAGACTATATCACTTTTAAGGAGACAACAGAAAAATGCAATTTATCATTTCATCTTTTAGCTGATTCTACTAGGATTTAAAAATTTCTATGCCAGATTTAGGGTAATGATTGCATTCCACTGTGCTCTGAGTGTTAGACCAATTTATCATTCACTGATGATGAAAATTAAAAAGGAAGTCCTGCCTAAATTTTCTACCAAAAAAATCTTTGATAAAACTGTTCTGATCCTGTTCCCATACTGAATTCACTTGGCCAGAGCAGGACACCTGTTTGCACACTGAAATAATACAGAATTTGTACAATTGATGCAGAAATAATTTGGTGTTTGTTTTTTTAATTAGGAAAAAACTGCCTGTGGACAAATATTCCAGCCTGAGGTACAATCCTCATTGGAAGAATGCAAAAAATGGAGATTTTTTTGAGGCAGAGAAGGCATCCCAAATTTTTGAAGGAAGCAGCGGGGACTTTTCACTGGATTCATTTTACCTCCATTCTGATGGCTCAGAAAATAATGAACAGGAGGCAAAGACCCAGGATGCACTCCCAGAGTTTGGTCCAGAATTATTCACCTTTTATGGAGCAAACGTGGCCAGCAACAAACCTGTTGGGCCACAAGCCCAAAGGGAGGAACCTGAAGGTGGATTTCATTCCAAAAATAATCCTGCCCGTGCTTTTCCTCCTCAGAACCAGCAGGACCCACCCCAAAGAGCAAAAAAAAACTTTGTGAGAAAAAATAAACGGACTTTGGGGTTACAGTCAGAGAGGATTAATTCCTATCTTGAGCTGCACAATAAAAAGCAGCAAGTTCTTCAAGGGCAGGTGGGTACATTTATAAATTCCCTCATGTCTGTCGATTTGGTCTGTCTGCTGTTGAACTCTCAGCTTTGCAGAGGGGAGAAGCAGATTTGAAGTCCATTGAAGTGAGTGACAGCTCTGGATTTCCAGGGGGAATCTTGCTCACCCTTTGTGGGATAATTCACAAATCTCCAGCTGCTCCCAAGCCCAGGGGTGGCCACGTTCCTGCTGCCTGTTCCTGGCCAGGGAAGTGTCACAGATCTCACACTGCTTTTATCTTGATGCTAAGGAAATTCTGTCTTCTTTCCTGGCACCTGCACTGCCCCTTTCCAGTGGCTCTTTTTATGCTGCCTCTCATTTTTTCTGCTTGGCCAGGGTGAGTGTTATAATGTTACCCTGTTAATGTCAGCATTATCAACATGAGTTTGATAATGATTCTCTCTGCTATGCCTTATTCCAGCTTTTTCTCAGTGGAGGAAATGCAAATCTGGTTAGAAAGAATCTCAAAGCCCATCTTGTGTCACCTCTGCCATGGCAGGGACACCTTCCAGTGTCCCAGCCTGGCCTTGGGCACTGCCAGGGATCCAGGGGCAGCCCCAGCTGCTCTGGGAATTCCATCCCAGGGCCTCCCCCCCCTCTCAGCCAGGAATTCCTTCCCAAAATCCCACCTGAACCTGCCCTCTGTCAGTCTGAAGCCATTCCCTGTGTCCTGTCCCTCCATCCTTGTCCCCACTCCCTCTCCTGTCACAGGTATAACACAATGTGGACACGCAGCTCTCCTAAGATAATTTCTTTTAATTTCTGACTCCAACATTTATCGATTTCTAAAAGTGACAGTGGATTGGAGGGTGACAGTGCCACCTCTCCAATGACACTGGACAGACCAACAGTCCATCAAATCTCTCTTTTTCTATAAAAGAATAAAAAAGTAAAAGTTATTTACATAAAGTGTGTGAGAAAGTTCGTTACAGAATGTAAACACCAGAAGGCTCATGTTATAAATGAGGGAATTTATAACATCAGAGGGGCACTCTCCAGCTCTCCTGGAGCCCCTTTAGGTCCTGCAGGGGCTCTGAGCTCTCCCTGGATCCCTCCCTTCTCCAGGGAAACATTCCCAGCCTGGCTCCAGCCCTGCAGCAGCTCCGAGGGGTCCCCTGGACATTCCTTGGCCTCCAGCTCCACGAGGTTTCCATGGGCTGCTGGCCCCAGCCTGTCAGGATCCCAGATTTGATGCTGGACATCAGCACTTGTGTCTGGAAGTTCTGACTGTGCACAGTGTCAGCCACCTTGTGGCAAGGTTCGAGAGGAAATGTAATTACAGTTCCTAATGAACCATTAGAAAGGAGTTCATTGCTTTTCCTTGCTACTTATTATGCATAATGGGAAGGGAGGGGGTCACTGAATCACTCCACACAGAAAATTCTTACCTTGGAAACCTCCAGGGACGTTGTGCTTCAAGTGACACCTCTGCCAAGGCTAATGAGGAGTTGACACAACATTAGAGGGAATTTTCTGACTTCATTCCAGTGGCAGGAATGATGGACAGGATTTTTTTTTCTAGTAGAGCTATTAAGAGCACTTGTTTTTTTTCAGTTCTAATTGGGATGATGGTAAAAATAATGAGTGTGGATGGATGCTAATTAGAGCTATGTTGATATGATTATGTTTGCTATTCAGGGAATTCTGGAAATCTTTCCTGTCTAAGTGCTGGAGCCAGGGATCAGGACTTCATTGTGCAGACACCCTTCAAAAATATGGAATATGGTTCAAAAATCAGGGTTATAAGATTATCTGGCTGAAGTGGCCTTGGGGACAGCAGAGAGGTGACACAGCAGGCAGAGGGGGTGTAGGAAAGTGTGTTCCTGCCCTTGACAAGTTACAGGGAAGTTGTGGACTTCCCATCCCTGGAAGTGTTCCAGGACAGGGCTTGGAGCCACCTGGGCTGGTGGAAGGTGGCCCTGCCCATGGCAGGGGGTGAGATGAAATTGGGTTTTAATTCCTTCCACCCCATCATTCCGTAATTCCGTGATTCCATGAGCGGCATCAGCACTGCTGGCGGCCAGCCCTGGATCTGCTGCGGGACAGGCAGAAGTTACTGATTAATTCACTGCTAATTGCCAGTTCATTTACTGATTCCTAACCAGATATCCACGGCTCAGGCTTGTTGGAAGGGGTGAAAAAGGTTCATTCCGTAATTCTGTGATTCCATGAGCGGCATCAGCACTGCTGGCGGCCAGCCCTGGATCTGCTGCGGGACAGGCAGAAGTTACTGATTAATTCACTGCTAATTGCCAGTTCATTTACTGATTCCTAACCAGATATCCACGGCTCAGACTTGTTGGAAGGGGTGAGAAAGGTCCTGAGGGGAGCATCGTGGTGGTGCAGGAGGCAGCTTTGGTCACCCCACCTGGAAAACTCTGTCCAAAAGTGCAAACCCACCAAGTATGTGAAGAAGCAAATGAGCCACGTGCCACCAATGAAGCTGTGCTTCCCTAAACTGATCCTTCTGAGCTTTGCAGGGGGCTGAAGCTGAATTTATTATCTGCTCACTGCGGGGGTTGTGGTGATGAAATGGTGTTTGCTTCGAGGGCAGGACTTGGTGCACGACTGAGTTAAAACCCATCCAGCCCCGTTCTGCAAGATTTACATTTACAGATGACAGCTTCACCAAAAACCTGTGCTGATCTGTACATTTACTACCTCATGTAGCATTTCATACAGCATCAAGTTCTTTGCAGTGCTGCCTGATTCCTAAAGAACCCCAAGATGAGTTTCTTTGAGAGAGAGAGAGCGAGGCAGAGGGAGAAGCAGTGGCCCAATCTAGCTCAGCTGCGCTCAATCCCAGTTGCTTCCCTACCTCCAAGCCCCTTACTTCAAAGCCAGGAACATAATGTACAATTTTTTAATGGCTCTAGAGCAAGGCACTCAGACTCTCTGTGCACTGAGCCTTCCCTCGGTGTAAACACCTAATCAAGATTGCCTGTGCTTCAACAATAGCAGCCAAATGCAATTCGAGAACCACAAGGCTTTGAAGTCCTCCCTGCAAAGGCTGGTTTGCCAGTCTGGGATAATGACATGCCATGATTGCTGCCTTTGTTGTATCTTTTCAGTGGAGAAGCAATTATGGGCCTCAATTTAACAGAATAGGCATTACACAGCTTATGATTCTCAAAATGCAATTTCATTTGATCATTTTCTCAATTTGATTGGTATTAATAGAATGGTTCACAAAAAAAAAAAAAAAAAAAAAAAAAGGGAAAAAGAAAAAAAAAATGCTGGCAGAGGTTGTGTCATGTTCCTCTTTCAAAGAGATAATGTAGAAGTATGTTTTACCTGCCCAGCACTCCATCAATGCACTGAGTCAGTTGGCTCCACCAAAAACATCTTGTTCACTGCAAAGCTGTGTCTGTCCACGGCTCAGGAAAACCTCCGTGGTATTTTTTAATTTTCTTGTGAATTTTTTCCAGGGATTTACGTTGAATTTGGAGCCATGAGATCACCCATAAATTCAGCAATAAACCCTGCCCACCTTTTCTTTCTGCCAAAATCTCTTACCCCCAAAGTGAGAGGCTCAGCTTCCCACATTTCCTTCCCACTGATGATTTTCAGTTGATAATTCTCATATATATCATAAATATCTTCCCAGTGCCACTTCTCCTGTGGGACCACTCTGGGGTGGAGCAGAGATTCCTGTCACAGTGACACTGCCCAACACACTTCCACTGAAATACTCAGCAGGATGGTTTGGGACAAAAAATAGAAATTTAAAATGTTAAAAATTTGTTTTCATGCAGTTTTATAGATTAAAAACAAGTTTATTTCAAGAAAAAGATTAATTATTGCTATATTTATAGGGGGGTCACTCATTTTTGTGCAGTGATAACTGCACAAACTCAAAAATCTTGCTCCAAATAAATTTGCAGTGGAGCTATCCTTGTTTGTGAGCTTGCTTTGCCAGGCTCAGTGTATTCCAGACTTTATTCCTGCAGCTCCCCGTGTGCTTTTCAGCCCCATTATTGTGTTTTTCCAGCTTTTCCTGCCAGCCTCTCTCGCTGAGCTGGGGTGTGTGATTGCCTGGCCAGGGATGGTTTCTGGCTGCTTTTCTGTTATTAGGTGCATTTCCTCCATGGAAATGGAGGAGCTCAGACATTTGAGACTTTCTGTGCTGCACAATTTTCCTTTCTTTTATTCCTCTTAAAAGTAGAAGGAATCATCCCTCCCTTTAATTGGGTTTTTTGCTTCTTTTTCTCCTTTAACCATTTCTCTCCTTGCCATCCATTCAGCAATTCAGCATCTCAAAATTTCAGCAATTCACCATTTCAAAATTCAGCATATTAATTTTAATAGGCCACCAATTATTTCTCGTTATTTCCCCAAGATTTTAAGATCTGTTCCCCTGATTGCTGTGACCATGAACATTCCTGTTTTTTAGGTCACACATCCTCCACCAGCTGAAGAACCACTCCAGAGTGTCCCAACATTCCAGACTGGGAAAATGAAGCCTGAAGACAAATGGTACCCAAAAGGACAGCAGCTCAAGGTTCCTTTTGAGAGAATTTAATAATTTCATTTATCATTTTAGAATTTGAAATTGTATAAATTTAGAATTTATGCATTTAGAATTTTTCAGTTGAAATATATCCAATATATCAATTGGATGTTTAAAGCTGTCGCCTTGTGGCTTTTAAAGTAATTATTACTGACAAGAAATCCTTAAATATTTTTCAGTAGATAAACACTGTCATTTAATGTATGTGTGCTTTATGTACTAAATAAATTTAAAGCAAAATGCCAAGAAATTCTGAGCTCACAGAATCTAGTATTGTCTATTTAGGAGATGATTTGGTTGATAATCTAAAATGATAAAATAGTACATGGTTGTGTTTGATGGTTTGGGAAATTCTGAGCCAGAACTTCACCATTTCTGCCTGATTTGTCCCCTAAAATTAAGGGGGAGTGAATTAATTGCCATAAACTAGAAAATGAACCAAATAATCTCCTAAATAAATTCTCAGAATCCTCCCAAACCATCAAACATAACCCTGTGCTGATTTATAAGTTTAGGTTATCAACCAAATCATCTCCTAAATAAGTTCTATCTCAGAATGCTCCCAAACTATTGAACAAAACCCTGTTCTAAGTTATAATTTTAGGTTATCAACCAAATTATATCCTCAATAAATTCTCACAGTCCTCCCGAACCATCAAACAGAACCTTGTACTAATTTATGATTTAAGATTATCAACCAAATAATCTCCTAAATACATTCTCAGAATCCTCCCAAACCATCAAACAGAGCCTTGTACTAATTTATGATTTAAGATTATCAACTGAATTATCTCCTAAATAAGTTCTCTCACACAATCCTCCCAAACCATCAAACACATCCATATACTAATTCATAATTTTAGATTATTGATCAGATACTATCCTAAATAAATTCTGGCTCACAATCCTTCCAAACCATCAAACACAACCATGTACTAATCCTTCATTTTAGATTATCAACCAAATCATCCCCTAAATAAATTCTCACAATCCCAAACCATCAACCAGAACTCTGTACTAATTTATAATTTTGGATTATCAACCAAATAATCTCCTAAATATATTCTCAGAATCCTCCCAAACCATCAAACACAGCCATGTACTAATCCTTAATTTTAGATTATCAACCAAATCATCCCCTAAACAGAAATAATTGTGGCAGCAGCCAAACTGGGAGCAGTCCAAACCAGACAATCCCACTTTGGCCGTGGAGCTCCAGGAGTCAGAACTCCCAGGGCTGAGCCTTTCCCAAACCTGGCTGCGTTTCCCACCTCCATGAATTTTTATTTTTGGAGTGAATTTGCCCCGTGCTGGCTGCAGGGGCTGCTCACAAAAGAACCCAGAGAGGCAGGAGGATTTCAGCCCTTGCAGGGCTTTAATGGGTTGAGAATGGATTTGTGGATTCCCTGGAAGGAAATTTGAGTTTTTCCTCCAAATGGGCAATGCCTGATTGGAAAGTGAGAGATGGAAATGGATTTCAGATTTAGAGGGTGGCAGTTTGGCTCTAAATGGCAGCCCTGGGGTGCTTGAATTCTTGAGTTCTGGATTGTGTTTTGCAGGGAGGAGTGCTTGGGTTAGAAATTAGATTGTTTTTATAATGTATAGTTTATAATTATTTTTATAATTTATATAATTTTTGAATAATTTATAATATATAGTTATTTTATTGTTTCTATAATATAATATTTTATAATTTATAATAATTTTAGAATTGATATAAGATTGTTTCTGTAATTTATAATTATTTTTATAATTTATATAAGATTACTTATATCTTTAATAATTTATAATTTTTTATAATTTATATATTTTATAATTTATAATTATTTTTATAATTTATATAAGGTTATTTATATAATTGGCATCAGGCTGTTCTACCATGGGCCAGTCTAACAGTCTGTACAAAGCCATTTTCCCCCAAAATTTGGCACATAAAAAGCAAGAACTGATTTGATTTTTGGAGCATTTTTTCCAGGTGTTTGACAGAGAGGTGTCACTTATGCACAGAGTTAGATCTGTGCACTTTAGGCCCCATTTTTGCACCTCCTGCAGATAAAATCCGCATTTACCACACCAGGTTTGCATCTGCAAGGACCTGATTTTACATTCCAATGCTGCAGAATTTGTCTCAGGCAGAATAATTCATTGTGCAGCACCTGAATAACTGTTGTGGACTGAGGGTTCCTTTAATATTTGAATTTTGGGCTCAATCCAGCCATGAGCAGGGTGAGATCCGAGCAGCTCAGAGCGATTTTGCTGCGAGTGATGAAATTTCTGCACCAATATCTCAAACACCCCCGGGGAAATTCACGCCGCTGTCGGTGCCTCGTTCCAGGAGCAGCAGAGGTTCCTGCAGAGACACAAGGCAGGCTCCAGGCAGCCCCTCAGGGGCAGAGCTTTCCCGAGGGGCGATGGCCGGGAGCCCCCAGGAGCGGCAGCAGCAGAGCCCTGGATCCAGAGGCAGCAAACCCCAAAATTCCAGGCTGCTCCCCCTGCAGCCCAGGAGCCCAGCTCAGCCCTCAGTTCTGCTCTTGGCCCAGCAGAAAAACCCCAAAGTGGCCTCAATCATCTCCCAGATTCAACCCTTACCACGCCTGCCTATCATTTCCTCCCAATATTCCAGAATTTTTACCCACCAGAGGTTTTAAATCCTGAATATCCCAGTAAGGAGGACAAGAAATACCAGCACGACTCTCCAGCTGGAATTCCACATCAATTCCCAGCCAGTGCCATCCCTGGGCAGCATTTTTCCAGGAATAACAGCAGCAGTGGCCAGCCACATCCAGAACTGGAGAATATTTCATCTGATTTTAATGCAATGTTTCAAGAAAGGGTGAAGGATCAAGCACTGCTTCCAGATTTCAAAAATCATATTCATGAGGATAACAGGTATCAGAATAGTTTGTGGTGAGGATTGAAGTGCTAAAATAATATTAAGTGATATTATTATTATTATTATTATTATTATTATTATTATTATTATTATTATATATCACAGGGTTAAGTGATAAATAACCCTGTGATTCCAGAAAATTTTAAAAATGGACAAGAAAATGCTTTTAAGTCAAAAGTATAAAGTTACTTTGCTACAAATCTGACATAATAATTTACTACTCATTGAAGATTCATTCTAGATTTTGATTTTTAAATATGGCATTGGAAAAGGACAGCTCTGTCCTCCAGGTATGGAAATTTCCACCATTGAAAGTTTCCTTCTAGGAGGCTGGGTGGGAAAGTTTAAAATATCAATAGGAAAGGGCACTGTGCATAAATGAAGAGTTTGTAGCAAAATTGGCTTTGCAGGGTGGATATCCAGGGTCAATTCTGTCCCTAAAGGGGAGAGCAGGAAAATCCTCAATTATGTAGAATTTCACCTGTCTTGATAAAAAAAAATGAAGGTTTTATTTCACATAAACAAACAATTCTATCAGTACTCAGCAGGCCTGATCCAAAGCCTTTCATTGGCTTTAATCACCTTTGCACCAAGCTGAAATTTCCCCATTTGTGGTTTTTTCCCATTTATTTTCCATACACCTGGACGTAAGCAAAGTCATTTATTGTGAAATCCGCACCTTCCCATCTCCCTGCTCCCTTATTCCATGTCCAGGTTGTTTGCTGTGTGTAAATTCAGATTTTTACTCTTTCCCCCTCCTTTTTTAAGGCCTTTTCCATGTTTTGTTCACAGCCCACCAACAGCTGCTTGTAGAATCTCCCATTTGACAGAAAGGAAGGAGCAGCACCGGCCAAGAATTTCTGATTTTGGGGATGATTTTGCTGGCACGTGGCTGTGGGGTCTGTTCCCACCTGCCCTGCCCCAGGGGCAGAGGGGCTCACAGGGAGACTCAGGAAAAGCTGAAGGAAATCCAAGGAAAATGAAACGAAGCAGCTCAGAAGGGTCTCTCCTGCAAAGGGAAAAGCAAAACCAGCCCAAAGCCAGCAAGAAGGTGAGGAAATACATGTGGGTTGGGTGGTTTAACATTTCTATTCCCTCTCTAATGTTTCTTCTTAATAATCCAAAGTTGGGGGTTTTTTTAAAACCCTATAAATAGGGACTGAGAAATGTTGTAAAAGCACATGGACACAGCAAAGCATTAAAAATCATGGAACAAAGGTGGAAACACACACTGAAATCATTTTAGAGCAAAGGGATCCACGTGGATCAGTGTGGTTTAGACACACAGAGCAATGTTTGTCCTGTCATTTATCCACAGCTAAAATCATTTCGGGTCAGGCTGCTTGTGAGGAGCAGCAGGCAGCCTCAGATCTGAGCCATCCATTATCCTGCTCACGCTCCTTTCTTGTCCAGCTCAAATCTCCTGCTTTCCAAGAGATTCCAACCCCAAAGCTGGAGGATTTGCAAAGCTAACAGCATAAACACCATCCCAAACCTCCTGATGGTCCTTATTAAAACCTGCATTTCTGTCTCCTCTCCAAGCCCACTTCTCCTGGTGTCACTTAGCACAGCTGCAGGGCACAGCAGAAGGCTGCCCATGACAAATGAAATGTTTGAGGAGTTTGCTCCAGGTCTCAGGGCAGACAAACTAAGCTGGAGTAATGATTTCAAGCAGTTTGGGTGTTGCTGCCTGAGTGCCTCTAAGAAGAATTAGGATTATGGTGGTGGCTGAAGGGCAGATCTCCTGCCTCTCTCTTCAGGCCATTGTTTCTTGTCCCGTGCTCGCAGCAGTTTTCTCACGCTTCGCATGTGAGGAATGCACAGAGAATCAGACTGCTTGTGCTCCCAGCAAAATCCAGCTTTTCCTCATAAACAAATGCACTCGTGCTCCTTGCAGCAGTGAGGAACCCCTGACTTCGTGGGACACAGTGAAATTAACTCCTCACTGTACCTCGGATTAAAAATTAATGAGTTATAGCATGGAAGAGCAGGGATAGCTGACACAAAGAAACCTCAAATAGGAAATTTACTGCATAAAATTAATTTCTCTGCAGCTGATTTTAACTTGAACCTGTGTTTTGAAGAAATGTCCATGTAGAAATTGGTGCTCCTGCCTTACTCCGTGGTTGAAGTTACCACAGTGATGATCATAATGAGCTTCACTGGCAAGTTTTTAAAACAGAATTCCCTTCTAAAAATGTGGTTTTGAAAGAGAATAAAATATTATGGAGGCATTGGAGTCTTTGTGTGATGTCCTGAGGTGTTGGATGGCATCACCCACCACTCCTGCCTTCCCTGTGCACTTGTAAAGCTTTTGCATTTGTTCCCAAACAAACCATGGATTTTTCAGCTGTCTGTGGACAATGTTCCAGTGCAGCTTTGAGAACAAGGAAAGGTTATTCTCACTAACATCATTTGCCTGATTTTTGCCACCAAAGTCAGGTAATTTTATCTGCTTCTCTTACAAAAAAATTCTTTGGAGTCTCATTCTAATCATAGTCAAATGAGTGGCTTTAGGCTGTTTCACAATAAAGCTCACAAAAGGTCATTTTTGACTGAGAAAATATCACTTTGTGGTTGGGATAATTGGCAATTTCCCACCTGGATCCAAAGGAAATGCGGTGTCATTTGACTTTTGCCATTAACTCAGTGCTGTTGGTCACTTATTTAAAATGAGACTTGCCAGGGGTGGGACTGAGATTGCAAATGAAATCCTGAGGTTTCCACTACAAGACTTCCTTGAATAATTCTCTCTGTGAAATCATGTCAATGAAAATCTGTTTGCTGTTTGGTTTGCAGCTGGGTAGCTCCAAATTCTACTTCAATCTGAGTATGAAGCTTGGAGGCCTTGGACCTGACTATGAAACAATCAAAGAGAAAGTGAGTAAAGCAAAAGTGGATTTAGGCAGGGGGGAGTGGCAGATAAATCACAATTTATGATTTTCTGGGACTTTATATCCTTGGCTAGCTGGAGATGCTACAGGAAAATTCAAATAAAAGCAAGGATGGGGATAATTTTAACCCTCTAATTTTTAAAATCCAGAAATAGGAATTAATCAGGGCTAATTGCACATCAGGAAATTACACACTCAGGTGGCTGAGTTGTCGTTCCCAGTGTAAAGATCCACCAAATGTTCCAAGTGGAAGCAAAAGTTGTGTAAACAGGAGAAAATATCTGTCTGCACTCTGAAATAGAGACAGATTGTTCAGGAGAGAATAAAGATGGACCTGTCACAATTCTGCTGAGCTCCATCCTCTATTCAGTCCAGGCAAAAGCTCTTAAAAGGGAAAAGCAAGTAAAAAAAGCTGTGCCATTTATCAGGGCTTCCTGTTGTGTGCTGAGGAGGGATCAATGGCAAAGCCAGGTTGAACAGCAGCAGAGGTGGAAATGGAATATTGGTGGGAAAAGGTTTGCATTGATGGATCCCCAGCCGCTGAATGCCAGCCCCCTTCCCTGCTTCTCTCAGAAAGAAAAGCTAAAGCTGCAGAAGGAATATTCCAGGCAAATTAAGGAGTATAACATGAGGAACATCACTGTGGTTCAGAGGTTGCCTGCAAAGCCCCAGGTGTCTTCAGTGGCCAGGCAGAAGGTAAGAGCTGAGTCCCTGCCCTGGGTGTTCCTCAGGGGTGACAAGTGAGGACTGCAGGCTCCAGGACAAAGCTGTGAGTTCAGTCATGTCAGAGTGCCTCAGTTCCTTGCATTTATTCCCAAAAATAAACCACTAAGAGACAAAACTTTATTGTTTGGGTGGCAAAAAGGGGTTTGGGTTCTTTTAGGGGACTTCACCAGGAACATGAGGTAGTGCAGCTTCCACTGGAGACGTGAGGCGTCCCTAAATCCCTGCAACACACAGCACCAAAACCCATCCCAGGTTAAACCAGGGCTCTGCCAGCTCCAGCATTTCGGTCAAACTCTTCCCATTCCCTCTCCAATTCCATGTTCCAGGCGTCATTTTGCTTTTTAATTTGGATAGTTAAGTGCATTATGTACAACCTGAGCTTGTCCTGTTAACCTGCAAAACTCCTGCCTGAGGGCAAGGGCTTAATGACACTGGGAAAAAAATGTTTATAAATGTAATAGATTTGTGTTGCTATTTCTTTTTTCAAATAAAAACACTTCCTCAGTGTCTAAGGTGCCAGGCAGCAAATCTTGGGCTGGGTTATGTTGCAGTCACCACTGAAGAATCTGGGATTGATTTCTGTCAGGAACAAGACCAGGAATTCAGAGATACCTTACTCATCCCACCTAAATATTTTTTGAAATCTTGTCCAGGTTTTCTCTTGCTCAGTTCCCCCAGTTTTCCTGCTTTTAGGCTCTGGAATATGCCAAGAAGATTCCAAGACCAAAGACCTTCATAGCGAGGCAATCAGAGCAGGAGCTGAAGGAGGTTCTGCCCCAGGCTCCAGCTGGAACCAGCTTCCCCAAAATCCCTTCCCTGGAGTCTTTGTGGAGCAGGCACGAGAAGGAGAAGGAGGTTGTGGCTGCTTTTGAAGCCCTTCACATCTTGTAGGTATTTGGGAATCTCAGGGATCAAGGCAAAAATGCCTCAATTGTTTCATTTTCACATCACATCTTCATTTCCCAGTCCGCTGAAATTTAAACTGGCTTAAGTTTAATTATTTTTAAATGTTAGAATTGGTTCTAATTGTTCTACTTGTACCTATTTTGTTTAATAAATGGACCATTTGAATTTATAGCATTTTAAATATAGTGCTCAGTTCTTTTGTTAGAAACTATTTTATTAGAAATTTAGTCCTCTGCTCTTTTTCTTTGAAATAAACGATCTGACAATTCCATCTTTCAGACCAATCAGCTCTTGGCTTGTCACAACTGGATCATTTTTAAACACATAAACAGGAAAATATATCTACAAAACATTAAAAATAAACTTCTGTTTCATCTGATGATCTTACCACCAGCAATCTTTCTCTTTCTTAAATGCAGAAGAGACTTTTGACCAGAAATAAAAGCAAAAATAATCCATTGCTGCTAAAAAAGAGAACAAAAATATGCTCCAAACACAGCAGTTGGTAATGACGCAATGCTAATTATTTGTTACTCTGTTATCTCTTAGTGAAGAGTTTCCACAATAAAACCAAAATTTTGAAGCTTCATTTGGGACAAGAAAATTCCAAACCAGTCCTGGCTGAGCACGCAGACAATCTGGGATTAGCCAGGAGCAGTTGGAGAATATCTTGGGTAACTGGGGATAATTGAGAGCTGCATGTTTGAGAGGAAACAGCTTTTAACAGATTAAGCTGTAAAAATAACAACAAACAGATGGGTTTCTTAGGGTGCTTCCATTTCTTGAACTCAGCAAATTATGAATTAAGTCACCATATGAAATGTGATTAGAGCACACAGCGAGGGAATTTGGGCTAAAACCTGCTGGAAAACAGGCTGGATAAAGGAATAAAAACCCAACCACCTTGTGATGATGTGGAATTGCTTAATCCCATTTAATGGGGGTTTGTTTTATGGGGGCTCCCAATTTTATATGGGGAAAAGTGATCCCAATTCTGCCCTTCCTCATGGAGAAAGGACCTGGCCTTGCTTCAAACCCTCCTGAAAGGCAGGAACCTCCCCTCCATTGTTGAAACATCCCCTTGGATTCACAGCTGGAAGTTCAGGACATTTTGGGCAATATTTAGACAACCACCCTGTGATGGTGTGGAATTGCTTTATCCCATTTATTTGGTCTCTTTTTTTTATGTGGCCTCCCAAGTTATGTGGGGAAAAGTGATTCCAATTCTGCCCTTCCTCACGGAGAAGGGACCTGGCCTTCCTTCAAACCCTCCTGAAGAACAGGAACCTCCCCTCCTCTGCTGAATCAGCCCTTGGACTCACAGCTGGAAGTTCAGAACATTTTGGCCAATATTGAGAAATATTAAGAATATTTTGGGAAGCCCTGGTGGAAGAAGCATTGTCCAGCACGGGAACGCGGGTCAGGCTGCAGGGGGAATGTTTGCCATGATATTTTTGTCACTTACAGCATCCAATTCCAGCTTCTGAACAGAACCTTCCTCTTCCTCAGCCTCTTTCCCTCTCCTTTGGGCACTGCCAGGCTGGGAAATGCTTCCCTGCTCTTCTTTCCTACTTTTATTTTTAAACCAAACTGTAACACTTGGAAGCATTTCTGCTCAGGGCACCTCAACTTGTTGTTCCTGCTCAAAAGTGATAATCCCCCCTTAATCCAAACCTCAAGTGCCTGTTTTAATGAAACCTTCAGATGAATATCAAAGAGCTATTTACTCGTATCTAATATTTTAATTAGATTATATTCTCAATTTAACCCATTAAACCCCCTTTGATGAGCTCCATGTTCAGTGTTTAGCCCCAGATGCTGGAGGTAATGAATATTGGACCTTTGATTTAATGAGAACTTCTGCCTTTCCAGCCTGACTCCCTTTGTATCCCCCCTTTTTTTTTTTTGCTTTTCTGGCCTATAGAATTCATTTAATTGAAGAAGTCTCTTATCACCACACATTAAGGAACCTAAATTAGCATCCCTTTTCTGATGAGAAAATGCAAGCAGACATTTTCTCTTTGATCTGAGGGCTGAGTTGAAGTAGGCAACAGCCCCCTGAAAATGAGCTGATGGCTGCATTATTTGGCTGCCATGCAGATGTGTCCATGTGGTGCAAAATGCTTAATGTCTTAATTGATCATCTTCCTCCCTGGCTGGCATCCTCCTCCCAGAAATTAGGGGAGAAATCTGTTCATTTGGGATTTTTTTAATAAAATAATGAATTTTTAGGAAATACTTAAGTATTAAACCTGTGAGAAATTTGGATATGATGCTGCATCTGGAAGAGCACATTTTTTATATATTTTATTATTATTTTAATAACCACTTATTACTTTTTTTATAAACACTGGTGATGGTCATCTCACAAACCATTTAGAAATTCTGTTTGCCCTGGTGTTTTGGGTGTTTTACATCCTACAAAGTGACATTTTTACATGGAATGAAAATCTTTTAACCTACCAAAATACAAATTCAGATTTTCCCTGCGCTTCACAGATATGGCACAAAAAAAGAGACCAATGAGCATCCACCTCAAAAGTGGCCAAAACTTAATGTATTTCAGATTAGAAAGGCAAAATTTAATGTATTTCAGATTAGAAAGGCAAAATATTTAAATCAAATCAGCCCCAGCAGAGCCAGCAGGATGCACAAAACCAGGGAATCCCAGTCTGGGGCAGAACCTGCAGTGGTTTCAGTGGTTTCAGGGATGGTTTCAGTGGTTTCAGGGATGGTTTCAGTGGTCTCAGGAATGGTTTCAGGAATGGTTTCAGTGGTCTCAGGAATGGTTTCAGGAATGGTTTCAGTGGTCTCAGGAATGGTTTCAGTGGTTTCTGGAATAGTTTCAGTGGTTTCAGGAATGGTTTCAGGAATGGTTTCAGGAATGGTTTCAGGAATGGTTTCAGGAATGGTTTCAGGAATGATTTTGGTGGTTTCAGGGATGGTTTCAGTGGTTTCAGTGGTTTCAGGAATGGTTTCTGGAATAGTTTCGGTGGTTTCTGGAATTGTTTCAGTGGTCTCAGGAATGGTTTCAGGAATGGTTTCAGGAATAGTTTCAGTGGTTTCTGGAATTGTTTCAGTGGTCTCAGGAATGGTTTCCTGCAGCGGTTTCAGCAATGGCTGAAATGTGAGCATTCGTCCCTGCCACCACCAAGCTGGGTGATAAACCTTGAAACCAGCTCCTTCCTTGAGGAAATGCACCGTGCCAGGGAGAGCAGCCGCTGCGGGTCAGGATCACACGTGTGCACCCTCCTGCCCTCCCAGGGGTCGATGCTGGGGGCAGCTGCCCCACCCCTGCAGGGCACCTCCAGGGGCTCACCCAAGCTCTAGAAGCAAGATAATCCCAGAAACAAGAAATCTAGAAACAAGATCAATCCAAGAAACAAGAAATCTAGAAACAAAATCAATCCAGGAAACAAGAAATCTAGAAACAAGATCAATCCAAGAAACAAGAAATCTAGAAACAAAAGCAATCCAAGAAACAAGAAATCTAGAAACAAGATCAATCCAGGAAACAAGAAATCTAGAAACAAGATCAATCCAGGAAACAAGAAATCTAGAACAAGATTAATACAGTAAACAAAAAATCTAGAAACAAGATCAATCAAATAAACAAGGAATCTAGAAACAAGATTAATACAATAAACAAAAAAATCTAGAATCAAAATTAATACAGTGAACAAGAAATCTGGAAACGAGATAATCCAGGAAATAAGAAATCTAGAAACAATATTAATACGATAAACAAAGAATCTAGAAACAAAATTAATACAGTTAACAAGAAATCTGGAAACAAGATTAATACAATAAACAAACAATCTAGAAAGAAGATAATCCAGGAAACAAACAATCTAGAAACAAGATCAATCGAAGAAACAGTAAAACTAGAAACAAGATCAATCCAAGAAACAAGACATCTAGAAACAAGATTAATACAATAAAGAAGAAATCTAGATACAAGATAAACCCAAGAAACAAGAAATCTAGAAACAATATTAATACAAAAAAGAAAAAATCTGGTAACAAGATGAAGCCAAGAAACAAGAAGTCTAGAAACAAGATAAACCAAATAAACAAGAAATTTAAAAACAAATCCTAGAAACAAGAAATCTGGAAATCAACCCAAGAAACAAGAAATCTAGAAACAAGATCAATCCAGGAAACAAGAAATCTAGAAACAAGATCAATCAAATAAACAAGGAATCTAGAAACAATATTAATACAATAAACCAAAACTCTAGAATCAAAATTAATACAGTTAACAAGAAATCTGGAAACAAGATTAATACAATAAACAAACAATCTAGAAAGAAGATAATCCAGGAAACAAACAATCTAGAAACAAGATCAATCGAAGAAACAGTAAAACTAGAAACAAGATCAATCCAAGAAACAAGACATCTAGAAACAAGATTAATACAATAAAGAAGAAATCTAGATACAAGATAAACCCAAGAAACAAGAAATCTAGAAACAATATTAATACAAAAAAGAAAAAATCTGGTAACAAGATGAAGCCAAGAAACAAGAAGTCTAGAAACAAGATAAACCAAATAAACAAGAAATTTAAAAACAAATCCTAGAAACAAGAAATCTGGAAATCAACCCAAGAAACAAGAAATCTAGAAACAAGATAAACCCAAGCAACAAGAAATCTAGAAACAAGACAAATACAAGGAACAAAAAATCTGGTAACAAGATGAACCCAAGAAACAAGAAATTTAGAAACAAGATAAATACAAGAAACGGGAAATCTAGAAACCAACCCAAGTAACAAGATTTCTAGAAGCAAGGTAACCCAAATAAACAAGAAATCTAGAAACAAGATAAATACAAGGAACAAAAAATCTGGTAACAAGATGAACACAAGGAACACAAAATCTGGAAACAAGGTAACCCCAAGACCAAAATCAGCCCCTTTTGAAGCCAGGACCTCCCAAGCAGAGTTTGCAGATGGTTGGGCTGATGCTGTTTGTTGTTGAGACCAGAAGAGAGGAAAAGTTCCTCAGGATATCAGTGATAGAAAATGCTCTGAATCCAGCAGACAGCAGAGAGAAATGAGGAGAGGAATCGGGAAAAGAATTTTACATCATGCCCAGGTTGTTGCTGGGCTTGGCCATTTACACCCTCCCCACTTCCTCCATGTGTGTGTAGCAGCAAGAAATTCAAATTATTTGCTCTATAAATGCCCTTTGAACCTATATCTGAGCTGCTTTTATGGAGTTCTGGCTATAGAATGAAAATATTTGGGATGCAACTGCTTTCCAAACACATAAAAGTTAAATATTTAAGGCAGCATGCAGGAAAATGCTCAAAATCAAAACAGAAAGCAAAGGTTCATGGCACGGTTTAATGGATTGGGGTTTGATTTTCTATAATAAAAACGACAACAAAAAAGCATTAACCACTTGTGTCTTAAATTAATCATCAGAACACGATTTCATTTCACAAAAACTCACTGAAGAATTTTGATGAAAATCAATCTTGAAAAATAGGAAATCCACCGACATTTCCTGGTTCCAGCAATTATTTCCTGTGAGTCACTTCCACTCCAGCATTCCCCAAGTGAACACATTAAATTTTTGGTTTTTTAAAAAGAGAGAGAGCAGCTCTACATCTCTTCCCTACTCCTCAAGCTTCTTGGGAAGAGGAGGGAAAAGTCAGGTGCTTGGAATAAGTCTGGATCCAAGAATAAAACTTCATTTCATTTATTCCAAGTGAAAAAATCTCTGAATAAAACCTCATTTCAATTATCCCAAGTGAAAAAAATCTCTGAATATTTCTATTTTTATTTCACATTTATCTCAAGTAAATTGTATCATTTACATCAAGTGAAATATCTAATTATTTCACATTTCTATTGAGTGAAAAAATCTTTGAATAAAACCTCATTTCATTTATTCAGTGAAAAAATCTCTGCTAGAAACAAAACCCGCCTGCCCAGCCCTTCCTTTTCCCCAGAACCATCTCCAATCTCCAATAACCTGTTCCCAAACGTTGCCCAGACTCTCTGGAAATGACATTTTTCCATCTCCAGCGGGGCCGGAGCTGGCTGCTGATTTCTCTGGCAGTGAGTTTTCCTTCAGCTGTCTCAATTTCAGGGGTTTTTGCACCAAACTTTGTGGGATAAGCAGATTCCCAAATCCTCCTGTTCCCTGCAAGGCTCTGGTGTCCCGCTGGGATGGGGACATCCCTGGGAATGGAAATATTCCCGCTCTGCCTGTGTGGGATCGGGTTTTAATCTGATTTTTAGCTTTAATTGGCAGCCAAGGTGCCTAAAACCGCCCAGAGGTGAAGATGGTTGTGGGGTTTGTTTTATTGATCGGCAGAAATACTTTGGGAAGGGAGTTCCTGGAGTGGCAGGGGAGCAACAGCAGAGATTTGAGGGGGATTTGAGTCGTGTTTTGACCTTTTTCTCAGAGATCTGGCACCCCAGAGCAGAGCCAGGCCAGCCCCGAGCCGTTCCCGACCCTGGAACAGCAGCGGCAGACGTGGTCAAAAAAACATCCCATAAATATCGTGTGGATCCCATAAATATCATATAGATCCCATAAATATCACATAGGTCCCATAAATATCTTGTAGATCTGATCTTAATGTTAATAATTCCCAATGAAACGCGTGCTGGGGGGAGAATGACAATAATCACAGAGCAAAATACACAGAAAAATTGTGAAAATTCAGGTTTTTTTATTCCCATCGCTTCCCTGCCCACGGGATTTGGGAGAAGGGGAAACCCCGGAGCCGGGAGCGGCATTTCCAGCCGGCTCTGCTTCAAACCCCGCTGAGAAAAGTGGTTGCTTTAAAATTCCTAATTTTTAGGGAGATTTGCAGCATTTTGTTGGAAATTTTTATTCTGAAAGGTTTTATTAAAAACAAGCAGCTTTTCCTGGATAGGTGGGTGGGTATTGAGGGTTTTCCTCTACACACAGTGTGTTATCTTTATTTTTCATGTAAAAACTAGAAAGGCAGGCTCACAAAAAAAAAGAAAGCGAACATACACATTCCAATAATCTATATTTTATATATTAAACAGGAAAATTAAACGTTTTCCCTTCACAAAACATGTCCCGTCATCCAAAATGCCCTGAAAGCGCTAAGAACGCCAGACAACCAAATGAAATTCCCGAGGAAAAAAAACAAAAAAACAAGGAAATAAATGAAATAAGCGAAGGAGACCCCGCCACGCCGCCGTGCTGCTGCTGCAGCAGCGATCCTGAGCCAGCACAGCCCCGCTCCAGGCTTTTCCCGAGGAAATTCCCAATCCCAGCATCACCCGGAGGTGCTGAACCTCCGCCGCGCTGCCGGCGCATTTCCCAGCCAGCAGCTCAGCCCAAAACCAAAACTAAATGATAAAAAAAATCTGGATTTACCTGGAAATGAACCCCATTTCCCTGGCAGGGAGGTAAAGGCAAAGCGAGGGCGGCTCGGGAGGGGGACGGGAGCCGAACACGGACCCGCTCCGGGGCTGTTTCAGAGGAAAAGGGAATTATCCGGCACCCACACCCGCAAGCCGGGCAGGAATCAGGCTGCCGACACTTCTCCGAGCTGTAGAAAATCCCTTTTTTCTGGCTGGGAGCGCCCTTTGCTCCGTGCAGCCGTGGCAAAATCGAATTATTGGTGATGCTCCCCCTTCACTTCCCCAGAGCGGAATGAAATAAACCGGAATTTTTGCCTTACCTGTTTCTTCGGAGGGTTTTTCTTGTAATTTTTTTAATTTATGCACGCCTTGGAAGCTCTGCCCGACCTCCCGCGCTGGGGATGGAGACGGCGAGCGTGGGAAGAGCGGCGAGGATTTAGGATTTAGGAATTCGGGGAATAAAGGGTGAAATGCGCCCTGCCTGCCGCTCCCAGGAACCACAACACGCTGCCACGAGTATACATTTATTTTACACCCGAGGAAAGTTCGGGGAGCCAGGAAAACTCCGCCACTTCGGAGGGAAGGGGGATCCTAAAACCAACTCGGCTCGTTCCGCTCCCCCCGCCCCAGATACAGCCTTGGGGTGATGCTGGGGGGCACCGGCGGCACCGCGGGGTCCCGGGGGCATCGCCACCTCCTTGCCGGGGAGGGGAGGGGGCTCCCCTCGCATCCACACCCTTTTCCCGAGCCGTGCCCCCCTTTTCCCGAGACGTGCCCCCCTTCCCGAGCCTTTCAGGGGCGACCTGCGGGCCGGGTGCGCAAGGAGAGGCAGGAGAGCCCCGGCTGTCCTAGAGGCGGTGGGGGCACACGTCCCCCTCCTCCAGGATGTCCACCTCGTCCTCGGGGTCCTGCAGCAGGAAGGGGCCGGGGGGGCCCTTGCGGGGCTCGGCCGCGGCCGCTTCGGGCAGCTCGGGCTCGGGGGAGCTCTGCTCCCGGCTCTCCTCCTGCTTCGGGTCGTCCTGAGTCTTCCGCAGCTGCTTTTTGTGCTTCATGCGGCGGTTCTGGAACCAGGTTTTCACCTGGGGAGAGGACGGGAAGTGGGAGAAAGATAGGGGGGGAAAAGGGGGAAAAAAGTGGTAAAAATTAAAGGGAGAAGGATGCTGGGTGTGATGGATGTGGGGATGCTGGAGGGGATGCGGGGATGCTGCACAGGGTACTGGGATGCTGGAAGTGATCCGGGGAATGCGGGAAGGATGGGATGTGGGGATGGTCTTCGGGATGTGGGGATGCTTCTCGGGATGTGGGGATGCTCCTCGGGATTTGAGGGATGCTACTCGGGGTTTGGGGATGCTCCTCGGGGTTTGGGGATGCTCCTCGGGATTTGAGGGATGCTCCTCGGGATTTGGGGGATGCTGGACGGGATGAGGGCTGGGCACAGGTGCCAGAGCGGGTCCCCGCTCCCCGTACCTGCGTCTCGGAGAGGCTGAGGGCCGTGGCCAGCTCCACCCGCTCGGGTGTGGAAAGGTACCGCTGGATCTCAAACCTCTTCTCCAGCCCCGAGAGCTGCGAGTCGGAGAACACGGTGCGGGCTTTGCGGCGGCGGCAGTGCTTCCCGGGCAGCTCGGCGTGAGCGTGGTGCTGGAAGAGCGCTGGCACCGGCATTCCTGGGGGGACACAGGGCGGAGACCCGCGCTGCGGTCGGCCGGGGGGCCGGGACCCCCAGGAATGACGGATTTTCCTGCTCGGGGTGCGCTCTCCCTCCGCCTCTTTGATTTTTTTTGTGGTTTTTTTTTTTTTCGTTTGTTTCGTTTTTGAGGTCGATTGGTTGGTTTGGGTTTGGGGTTTTGTTGTGCTAAAAACGGGGATTTGCCAAGAGCCCACCCCGGGAAGGTGAAGCCACCGGAGGGGACTCGAGGCTGGCGCGGCCACCTGAACCCTCCCGGCGAGGAAACCACAACGAAATGGGCATGAAAAACACCGGGGGAGCCCTGGAAAAGACTGGGAAGGGGAAAGCGATCCTTGACGGCCCCGCTGACACACGGCTTGGGAAACTTTGGAGGTTTTCTCCTTGCAGAAAAGGAACGGGCCCGGGCAGGGTGCGGGAGAGGAGCGGCACAGCCCCAGCGGGGATGTGGAGCTGGAAAACGAAGCCCTCTTGGACAACGAGAGGGAAAAGCGAGATTATCTGTCCCAAAATAAAAGCGATTTTAAAATAAAATTAAATTAAAGGAAAAAAAAGAGGGAAAGTCTCAAGGTTTCGGGCATCCGCTAAGGAAGTGGCTGCCGCGGGGCCAGCGGCTCCTGCCCTGGGGGATGCAGGGGTGTAAAAGGTGCCCGGCCGCCCCAGAGCGGCTCTTTCACCCTTGTCCCCACCCCAGTCCCCGCCTGGACGCCCCGAACGCTGCAGGTGCTGCCGCACTTACCCGAGGTGGTGAGGAAATAGGGGTGGTGGTGGTGATGCTCCGGCTTGTGCACGGCGGGGTGCGGGTGAGGCGCCAGCAGGGTCGGGGTGGGCATCAGGGGGTACCCATAGTCCAAGAGGGGCACGCGGGAGGCCAGCGAGCCGGGGAAGTGCTCGGGGGGCACCTCCCGCAGGGGTTTGGGCTTGTGCAGCAGGATGTCCTCGATGAAGAAGGAGGTGGGCCGGCCCGTGGACACGGGCAGCACGGGCGACGTGAAGTTGAGGTTCATGGCAGCTCGGGCCCCGCGGGCGAGGGACGGAGCCGCGCCGAGCTGCGGGAGCGGAGAGAGGGGCCCGAGCTGCAGCCCCAAGAAATGAAAATAATGATGGGAATAAATATTGTTTAAATCCTCTGGCCAAATAAACAGCGATAACAATTTTTAAAAAATGAATCCCCCAGGCAGAGGGAAGCTGGCGGAGCCGGGGGAGGCGAGGCGGGCGCGCCGGGGATGCGCGGGGCGCTGCGCGCCTTTGAGGCGCGCTGGGAAGGGGGATGCGCGCTGAGCCAATGGCGAGCGGGGGGGGGACGGGCCTGCCGGGCCACCCAAACCACCCCGGGGGCGAGGAGGGGGCGAGGAGCGGCTCCGCAGCCTCCCCCGCGCAGCGCTCCGCGCCAGCGCGCTCAGCCCCGCTCCGGGCGCGGCGCTTGGGGCGTCTCCCCAAACACGGGGTGGGGGGAATCGCCTTTGTTTATTTATTTAATTTTGTTCTTTTAAAAATAAATAAATAAAGAGCAAAACTTGGGGGGAAAATAAAGCAGCGGCTCTTTCCCACGCTCCGCTCCCAACCTGTCCCCGCAGCTTCTCCCCGCGCTCTCAGCTCTCATCCCACCCCGGTTTTGTTCCCATCCCTTGCGCCAACACTTCTTTTTTTTTTTTTTTTGGGGCTTTCCTCTGTTTGTCTTTTTTTTTTTTTTTCTTTTGCCTTTCCTCACCCCTCTAATCTGCACCATTCATTTCCCCGGAGTCAATTTGCTCAAATGAGGGTGATACACCACATCATAGCCGAGATAATTTCGGTTCGCATCTCGGAAAATTGCTCTAATTATTGATGTTAAACTCAGGGAAATTAAAAGAAGGCGCTTCTCCTTCATCTCCTGATTTTAAGCTCTAATTTGTTGAAATCGAGTTGTCATCACAATTCCAATCACTCCCGTTAATAGTAAAAGTGTTCTAATAGAGGCAGAATTCGCACAACCCATGCTATTAGATAATTAAGAAAGATGTTAGAAAGACAAGTGCTAATCCTTGGGCACACGGACAGCGTCTCCATCTGATCCAGCAGGTAGAACAAATTAATTACCCGAATCAATTAGTCCTAAAAGTACAGTTCTCAGGCAAGTGCAAGCCATGCCTTCCATATGGATGAGCTGGTAAATGGCAAATAGATGAGGAAAAAAGCTGCGAAAGAATAGAAACGGCGAGCGCCGGCCCCTAATGAGCGCCCGGCTCGCGAGTTCCGCGGCGCTGCGGCTCCGCCGCGGGCCGGGGACAGCGGAGCCTCCTCCAGCAGCTGCCAAAATTGGGGAGGGGGCGGCCGGAGAGCCCCCCGGGAGCGTTCTGTGCCCGCTGGAGCCACACCCACACTTTGGTTTGTGCTGAGTGCCCGCGCACAGGCAGCGCCCAGCGGCGTGTGGTGATGGATATTAAATATATACGCGGTCCTGCATGTGTTTTATACCTATATTTGTATTTAAATCGCGTGTTATAGTCTTATATGTAATATGAATTTTTTTATCTTTTAAAATATTTATGTATACACAGATCCTTTCCTGCAGAGTATGGATCATCTACCCTGATGTAGGAAAGCAGGAGGAGCCCCCAGGTCTGGGGGAAAAGTCAACTCCTCTTCCTCTTTTCCCCAGGAAAAATAAATAAAAAACTCCTCTCCTCTCCTCTCCTCTCCTCTCCTCTCCTCTCCTCTCCTTCTAGGAGCCCCCAGGACTGGGGGAAAAGTCAACTCCTCTTCCTCTTTTCCCCAGGAAAAATAAATAAAAAACTCCTCTCCTCTCCTCTCCTCTCCTCTCCTCTCCTCTCTTCTCCCTCTTTTCCCACAGGAAAAATAGATAAATAAAGAAATATATCAATGATTTTTTTATATTACTAGACATAAAAATAAATAGACAAATGCAATAATCCTGTTGCAGTGGCCCCTCCTGAAATGACCATTAGGATTTTTTGGCTGAAGGATTTCAAAACCCAACTTTCTGTGCCGGAGCAATCGAGTGGATGAATTCAGGGTGATGAAACGGGGCTAATGCCCCCCGGTTAATGAGGAGTGCCTAAGCTGCTTGCGGGGCCATTTCATCAGCCGAGATTGCTCTGCCGGGGGGGCCGGGGCCTCACCCGCCTCCTGGGGGGGCAAATTTGGGTATTTAAAGCAGAGCTGAAGGATTAAAGCTGTGTCACCGCAGCAGGTTGGTCACAGCTCCAGGGCTCGGAACACGGACAGCGCTGATTTCTGGAGCTCCTCGGGATTTCGGGCACGGCTGAATGAGGCAGAGCAGGAAAGGGGCTGTGTCTTGGGGTTCGTTTAAAGAAAAGCTCGTCCCCAAATTGTGCAGTGACACTTCAGGCACGCAGCCTGTCCCTGCTGCTGTTTGGGGCGAGAGGCAGAGGGGACAAACCCCATCTGTGCAGAAGGGACAGGACGGCAGCCCCAGCAAGGGAGATGTCCCCTGCAGTGCTCACATCCAGGGATTTTTTTTTTCAAATGTAACATTTCACAGCTCTTTGTGACAGAAATGGGGTGCCAGGTATGACTGGTCCTCTCTGCCCCCAAAGTATTTTCCCTGTTTTCCCCCATTTCCCTGTTCTGCAGGTGATGGGGACCCAGCAGAGTGGGTTTCATCCAGAGACCCCCAAATGTGCCCAGGAGAGCCCCTGGAGCCTGGATTAGCCCTTTGCCAGGCTGGACAGACACACGGACACAAACGGAGGCTTCTCCCTACACACCCCATCCCATTCCTGCCAAATTCCGGGAGAACAGAACTGCCCCAGCCTGCAGGGCTGGGACACAGCCGGGAGGGAAAAGCAGAGGGAGAACCAGCAGGATTGGGATTGGGATCAGGACCACGTTTGGGATCAGGATCTGGAGCACGAGCAGGAGCAGGATTGGGATCAGGATCACGATTGGGATCAGGATCTGGAGCAGGAGCAGGGTCAGGGTCAGGATCAGGATTAGGAGAAGGATTAGGGTCTGGATCGGGATCAGGATCAGGAACGGGATTGGGATCAGGATCTGGAGCAGGAGCAGAGTCAGGGTCAGGATCAGGATCAGGATTAGGAGAAAGATTAGGGTCTGGATCGGGATCAGGATCAGGAATAGGAACAGGATCAGGAACGGGATTGGGATCAGGATCCCAAGAATTGGGATTGGCATCAGGATTGGGATCAGGAGGAGGATTGGGATCAGGAACAGAATCAGAATTGGGATCAGGAGCAGAAGCAGGAACAGGGTCAGAATCAGGATCAGAATTAGGAGAAGGATCACGATCAGGATCAGGAACAGGATCAGGATCAGGATCAGGAACAGGATCAGAATTGGGATCAGGAGCAGAAGCAGGAACAGGGTCAGAATCAGGATCAGGATTAGGAGAAGGATCAGGATCAGGACCAGGATCAGGATCAGGATTAGGATTAGGATCAGTGTCAGGATCGGGATCAGGATCAGGAGAAGGATCAGGAACAGGATCAGGATCAAGATTAGGAGAAGGATCAGGATTAGGATCAAGGTCAGGATCTGGATCAGGATCAGGATCAGGATCAGGAACAGGATCAGGAACAGGATCAGGATCAGGATCAGGATCAGGATCAGGATCAGGATCAGGACCAGGATCAGGATCAGGATCAGGACCAGGACCAGGACCAGGATCAGGGTAATTTTGAAGCTGCAGCCTGGGCTGTTTCACTCACTGGGTGTTTCCCTCCCCATCTGGGAGGGAACAGAGGGGAGGAGCAGAACTGTCCCTTTCTCCATCCTCCCTAAACACCTTGGGGGACTCTGTGAATCCCAGCCTGGCACCCCAAACAACTCAGACCTCCTGATTTTTATCTAACCACAGCCACACTGCTGTGGAGCTTGTCTCTTGCTCCTTCAATAAAATGAAACTGATTTTTACAGGCTCCAAGAGGTTTATAAACTTGCTGGAAGTGATGCACCCCCAGTTTCTGATTTAATAACACACGTGCTTTGCTTAGATAAACACCAGCCATCATCACTCGCACACTTAAGATCATTTGAAGACATCACAGGGAGAATTTTACCCAGGAAAACAGAAATGTATTTGACTTAAAACCTCGGGGGTCATTTCAAAGGTCAGCACGTCTGCATTGATGCTGGCAGCTTTATTTCAGTGTGCTGCATTAGGGATAAATTTGGTGTGGTTTAAAAATACAGGCACTTACCTTGCCGTGCCTCTTGAAGAGGTAAGGTAGCTCAGGAGCCCGGCCTTTTCATGCCTTTCAAGACCAATCCACTCCAAAAGGAAGGGTTAAATTAAAAACAGACAGCCTTGATAGGCTCCAAATGGGAGCCTGGCTGCAGCAGAGAGGGCTGAAGAGCCCGGGCTGAGTAGCCACACATGTAACACCGAGAGAGGGCTTTTGAACACAAAGCTTGGCTTAATGGAGAATGTTCCTTGCTTGATGCTTCAGCCTCAGTGATTTTCCCGTTCCCGAGTGCCTCTGCTGCTGGGGAGAGGCAAAAGCACTCCTGGCTTGCCCCAGCCCCTCTGCCCATCCCCATCCTGTCTGCCTTTGCCCAAATCTGCCTTTTCTCCTCGAGCTCAGGCTCAGCCTGTGGGGAATCCAGGAGTGGGGTGGGTGCTGGTGATGAGGGATTTTAGCAATCCAGCTCAGGGATAAAGTGGGAACCCCTGGAGCACCAGGCTGGGACTGCACTGGGAATTCTCTGCCATTTCAGCATTGCCACAGAGGAGCAGGAGCTGAACTCCTCGGGGTCTCTTCCAGCTTGGGATATTGGGAATATTTCGGCTGGAAAGCCTCTGCTGTGCCCTCCAGGAGAGCTCAGAGGATGGGTTTGATGTTATCCCAGGGCTGAGGGAGGGGAAATGAAGCTTCAAAGAGGAGTTTGCCTCCTAAGCAGGGTTGGTGGCAGGGGGAGATCCATCCAAGTTTTCCAAGGCTCACAGTTCATCCCTCGGCTCTGCTGCCTCAAACCCTCCACTGCCCAGCCTGGCACTGCCCTTCATCTGTGCTGGGAGGAAGAAAGGCCAGAATGGGAACCAGAGGGGAAA